ATACATATTTACAATGCATCATGCATTTTTAAGTTATTGCATGTGAGATGACTTTTCCAATACTATATGGACTATAATACTATTTTGATGATTTTCTAAATTCTATCATTGTTGCGCACTTGGTTTAGAATGTTTAACGTGGCCGCAGTAAAATAGTTTTAAAACTCTAAATTTTATAATTACCTATATATTGAGTAATATTAATATTTATTTTTAAATAAAATAAATTTTTTAAAATGATTTGTTTAAAATATAAAAATAGAACTTTTAATTATGTTCCTAATAAAAACACAATTTTTAAAATCCCCTCTCTGGTTACAAATTTTTGTTATTTAAAAAGAAAACAAAATAAATGAATAGTTAATTTTATAGTTTATTGTATTCTAAATATATATATATATATATATATATATATATATATATATATATATATATATATATATATATATATATATATATATATATATATATATATATTACATAACCCTTCTTTTAAGCAAAATAAACTAATTTGTAGAAAACTTGAAAATTAAAACTTAAAACCTTTAAGAAACTTTACTTTTTTCATATTTTAAAATTTGCATGAGTTAGATATTTGCATATACTTTCCTTCAAACTTTCTTATAAAAAAAGTGTTAAGAGATTCTTTCTCTCTATTATTTCGAATTCAATGGCTGTCACAAGTTTCGTGCAAATACACACAAATGAGCATTATTACTATCAAGTTCAACATTTCTTTGTGAAGCAATAGTCATTTCTGTATATTTATAAACAACACTTGAAATGGTTCAGGATTAGATGATAAGATATCCTGCCACCTTTTTATAAAGTATAAACCATGTAGCAATGAATAGACAGGATGATATTTTGAAAATATTGAAAAGCATGTTTTATATCCTTTTTGAGCACTTCTTAATTGAGCGGGTCACTTTTCAAAAATATTTAAAATATTTGAATATTTCACAAATATTTTTGGCTGTCCCTTTTTCTTTGATCATATCATATTGGGAACTGATTTTATATTTATTTTTTATTTAATGTTTAGTCAAGTAATTTTAAACCTAGATATATTGGTTTAATCATAAATATATCGTTTACATATGGTTTTGCAAACTGCTTTGATACTATTCCAATCAAAACCTTAGTCCTAATTTCTATATTTTTTTTTACTAGTGTAAATAATTTTTAAATTGACAAAAAAAAGTTTCAATAAATTTCAAATGGTAAGCATTTGCCCATCCACAGTAAACGTGGATGGACACAAAAAACACAAAATGTTATCAAATTTTCAAATAGTGTCAAGGTGATTATATAATAAAATTTTTTTTTTTGATTTCTAACTTTTTCTACATGACGAACTTAGTAGCAAGGCTAAATAATTTTTAATTTAATTTAAAATGCTGAAATAAAAATTTATTTTGTCTTTTTTTATGCTGATTCAGCATTAAATGCAGAAAAATAAATAATAAAGAAAACTACATTTTTTATGACATTACAAGCTAAAACTTACCGCAGTGATGGATTAGAGTGTAATAAACAAAACCTTACTAGAAAAACTTACTAGAAATAATAATTACTTTCAAAATGGCAGCACTTTTAATTTTAAAGGATATTTTTGATGCAAAAGCCTTTAGTAAAATATAAATATATTATAATGGAAACAAGTTTAATGTTAGTTCTAGTAAGGTATTGCAGTTCTATCTCTACTTGTGCAAAAAAAAAGTAACCCTTTTTTGCACAAGTAGAGCTTATAAAAGATTTATGTAATGGTTTGTTTTTACTCATATCTTTGATAGCTCAGTGGTTTAGTATGCTGCCAACAGTGTCATTACAGAAGGTTTAAATTCATATTTTAAGATTTTAAAATATTTTAATCTTGCCATATATATTTATAGAAAAAGGAATATAGCAAAAAAGACTTCTAGTTGTTAAAATAAAATTTGAAAATAAAATATTTTTTTATATTATACAAATATTATACATGATCGTTCCATATACTACAGTTTATGCTGAAGACATTTACACTTGCAGACATTTGAACTCAAATAATTTCTCTCTTGATACTTTCTGTTTGCTAAAACTACGCAACTAAGAAGATGACGTAATTTTATCAAACAGAAGTTATCAATAGATGGGAGAGTCATGGTAAATCTAAAATTGAAGTTTTAAATTTTTTATTTGGATGTATGACTTGGATGGATGTTTTGAATTTTTTCAATCTTGTCAATTTTTAAATGCAATAACATAAATTTTATTTTATTTTATTTTAATTCACCTTCTCAAGGCCAAGAAGGCCACTACAGACGAGGAGGCTACTTATTTGTAGCTCTAACCCTCTTTCAACTCTATAACTCCGAAACACGAACCTTGACGAACAAGGCCAGTGCAGAGAAACGAGTTGCGGTACTACCAGGGACGTGGTGGGGATCAAACTCGGAACCACTCGTTTATTAAGCGAGCGCTCTACCACTACACCACTACCGCAAATACAAAAGTTCAAAATAAAACAGATAAAGAAAAAAAAAACTTTCAATTGTTAAAATAAAATTTTAAAGTTTTTGCTAGTTACTGGTAATTTTATTTTGTTTCAACAGCAGCATCTTCTGGACAGGACAGGTTTATTAAATTTTTTCTTCATTAAGTTTCAGACCATAATTTTTCAGACCATCTGCAGTTTATGAGAACTAATTGAACTGAACACATATCTCTATCATGGCATATTCACAGGGATGTCTTTAACTAACTGGCTACCCTGCATTTCTAAAAAATTAGTTTTTAGTGAAGCCAATTTAATATTACATTATTAGATAAAAGCCATTATTATATCGGGCAAAAAAACTTTTAGCAATTGTTGTCTTGTAAAAGAAGCTTAGCAATTTTAAAGACTAAATCAAGGTTGGAGTTGAAGATGATTAGTTCAGAGATAATAAATTTGGATGAGATGATAAATTTGGTGGCCTACAGCCAATATACAAATGTTTTGGTCAAAGAGGATTGTAAGCTGAAAAACAAAAACAAAAAGTTGTTTTTATAGCCACAAATTTTGAAACATATTTTTAAAAACATATTTGCATTTACTAAATGCAAAGTTCTAAATGATTTAGAACTTTAAACAATAGCATTGTTTTAATATTTTATATTAAAAAATAACATTTATAAACCCTTAAATAATAGTAACTGATTCGTTTATTGTCGTGAACCTTTCTTAGTAATTTACTAAAGTCTTTAGTAGTATTTTTCTGAGTATATTCATTCAGAATTCTGAAATAATATTCACTTATCTTTCTATTTAACTAGCTTCATTTATTTTCAACTTGCATATTTATTTTGTGGCAAATAAAATTCGATATGTTTCCTTGAAAGTTTATTTGCAAACTTCAAATTTTTAAACTTGAAAAAAGGTTTAAAATAACTCCATTAAATATAATGCTCTTGAAAAAAACATGATCCATCTAAAGAATTTCTAATTTAAGCATATAGATGTTAAAGATATGTTTATTACTTCTTATATGTCATATGAAGAAGTAATAAACATATCTTTAACATCTTTGAAAACAGACATCGAAAGGCAACAACAGAATTTTAATTGGTACTTATACAATCAAATGTAAGACTTTAAAACAAAGTTATTTCAAAGCAAAACTCAAAATGTTTTAATTAAGCATGTTAAATTAATTGTTTTAACTTAATTTAATTAAAAATTAGCAATGAGTACTTTCCAATGAGCTTGCAAAACAACTAATATATAAACTAAAGCCTCTGTATAACGATAAAACATAACTAATGGGTAATTTCCAATGTCCTCGCAAACCAAATAACATGAAAACTAATGCCTCTATAGCTGGATTATTATGTTTGCATACAGTAAAATTTTTACCCATATTATAATTACAAATGCAGTGGTTTAAATTTTTTTTTGAGGTTAGACTGTTTTAGATTGTTATAGCATAAATTATAAGGGTACATAAAACTAACATCAGTTTTCTGTTTATCACCATAATATGAAAAAATATTATAGAATAAACTAAAATAAACCATGGCAATTTATAAATAAAGTCTTTTGTGACAATGAGCTGATAGCACCAAGACACAACATTGGTTAAAGTAAGTTATATGCATTTGTCTATTAAAAAAAGCATATGTAAAACAAGTTTTTTTTACTTTATTGTTGTATCTGTGACCTTTAAAATTAACATTTTGATAGGAAAATTATATATATATATATATATATATATATATATAAATATATATATATATATATATATATATATATATATATATATATATATATATATATATATATATTTATGTATTTATTTATATATTTATTTATATATTTATATATATATATATATATATATATATATATATATATATATATTATATATATATATATATATATATATATATATATATATATTTATGTATTTATTTATATATTTATTTATATATTTATATAAATATATATATATATATATATATATATATATATATATATATATATATATATATATATATATATATATATCATGATAATTACATTTGCAATAGTACTACTGATGATCAATACTGAAAGGCCTCTTAAAAAGTACTATTTAATATTTTCTTAGTAGTATTTTAATATAAAAAATTGATTTATTTTTTGAATATTGTTGTTTTGCTTGGCTTCTTTTTCCTTCATATTGTTTTAAATAAATTGCTTGCTATATATATATATATATATATATATATATATATATATATATATATATATATATATATATATATATATATATATATATATATATATATATAGCAAGCAATTTATATATATATATATATATGTATATATATATATATATATTATATATGTATATGTATATATATATATATATATATATATATATATATATATATATATATATATATATATATATATATATATATATATATATATATATATATTGTGTGTGTATGTGTGTGTGTGGTTTCTATAATTGTTTATTTTTTACATATAACAGGTAGTGAAAAGAAATGTGATCCTGAAGAAGTTTCTCCAACAGGTTTTACCCCATGCTCAAGTAAATTTTAGTTTATTGGAATTTTATTCATTTTGTTTTCTAACTATATTTTAGAAAATTCATTTAATAAAAGTCTTTCAAATAATATTTTTTGAAAGAATTTTATTTGCTTTTTTTTAATATATAAACTTGCACACAAACGCGTACAAACCCCAAACGCCCAAAACTACCGTCAAACGCCTACTGTATGCACCAAACGCGTACATATGGTCACATTAATTAAATTGCTAACAAATAGAATTCGGTTTAATGATAGCTATTATGTATTTAAAAAGTAAATTACTTATTAGTAAGTAAATTAATTATTCAATAGCTAATTAAACATAATAAAAACTTACTAAACTAATAACATGATGACCAAGCTTATTTTATTTGCTTTTAACAACTAATTGATGCTCGCTTTTAACAACTTATTGATGTTCGCTTTTAACAACTTGTTGATGTTTGCTTTTAACAACTTATTGATGTTAAATGCAAATAAATTAGGTTTGATCATCATGTAACTTTGGTCATAAATAACAAAAATGCATTTGTATTTTGTTTCTTTTAATTTTTAGTTCTTTAATAATATTTGTTATCACTTTGTGCATAAAAATCATAAAAAAATGATAATTTTTATTTGAAATCTGCTTAAATAATTCATTAGCAAAACAAGAGTTTTTGAGATATGCTTTTTGTCAAAATCTAAAATAAGCATAGTATTGAATAAAACAATTAAATTTAGCTCAAGTCTCCAAGTTAGCAAAAAATGTCACCAGAGTCACCAAGTTAACAATATTTATGTTTTAAATGTTTTAGCATTATTTTCTTTTTTATCATTTTTATCAGTTGTTTGGTGCTTACTTCTTTCCTTTATTTCTTAATAGTCGTCATCACTTTTTTTCAGTTATGGTCATGTTCACTAAGGGAGGTTTTGGCATGTTCCTAGTTCCAGAATTTTCAAAAAAAAAACACAGTAACTTCTGTAACCAACCACTTAATACTTTTCTTCTTTCTTTATTTTCCGTTCTAAAGAACAGGTCTGAATGAGTTCGACAATAAGATTAATTTTAAAACAGTTTAGCTACACTTTTTTTGATTACATCGGATAAATTAATTTCTACTGCACAAGGAACTTGTTTAATAGTTTTTTAAAAAATTTCTAATTGCATTTTGAACAGGACAAAAAAGTAAAAAATAAAAGTTTTAAAAAATGCAGAACCTTTATTCTAAAAACATGGAAATAATATGCGACTTTTTAAACAATTGGTTGGTAGTTTAGCTCAGACTTGTGGAGCCGACTATTTTTTTTACGGCTCGGCTCCTGAGCCGCCCAGTGACTCAGGACAATCAAAAAATGGCAAAAATTAAATAAAAATTGACATAAATCGTAAATAAATATTGTTATATTTTAAGATAATAGTTTTTAAGTCAAAGATGTCAAGTTTGTTAATAATTTTTTTTTTTTAATGCGCACCTTCGACGCGTAAAATGCGCGCTTACACATGTTAAAGGTGACTATACGCATACAAAAATTTTTTATTTTAGTTTTTAGAATCTTCAAGAAAAACACATAATTTTGATATATTACTCTACTTGATATTTTTATAAAAATGGTTTTTATGTTGATACATAGAGAAAAAATACTGCATTTTTTTACATTAAGTTCATTATTTACATTACAATTAATTTAAAAACTTCATCTGGTAACGGTTTTCCTCGATAGCTCTTATGTTTTCTAAAAGATATGCTTGATATTTTTGGATCTGATCTTACTAGAAGGTAGTGTATCTGATTCATCATTGTGTTTAACCTTGATATTTTTGCCGTGTGGTCAAGTCTAGAATTTCTTATCTTTTTATTTAAACTCTCAATTGCATTTTCCGAATATACCCTGATTAGCAAAGGTAATTTATTTGATATAGAAGAACTATGCAGTAGCAGTTTATGTACAGTAGGAGGCATAACATACCAGTTGTATAAACTTACTATACGTTTAGCTGTTTCAGTGCAGTATAAATCTAATTCATTGATATTAATAGGATATCCACAAGATATGGTTATGAGAATATTATGCAATCTTTTAATTATATCACAATCAACTTTAGTAATTTCAGAAAAAACTTCACTATTTTTAAATGCTCTTCTGGCAGTGTTGCCGTCATTGGTGTTTCCAGATCCAGTTTTAGGCATATCAACGTATAGGCTTAACCGTTCTCTGAGTACCTGAATCTATTTTTTTTTTAAGTCTACAGATAGTTTTTCCTCAATTGTTTTAGGCTTATACTTTTCAATTTCAATTTTATAACTCAAATGAAGAATGAACTCCAACCATTTTATCCAGCAATGCAAAGCTGAAATTCCAAGCCCCAAGGCTAAGTCATTCTCAGTTTTTGCTTTTAATAAATCAATATTGTTCATTTCTTTGGGTTTAGCATTGCACACATTGCAGGATTGAGTGGATTTTGTCTCTGTAAGTGCGGTAACTACTTTATTATCAAACATTGTAAGATCAATCTTATAGCTGATATTAAATGTCAAAATTCTTCCTGCAATATTAAAAACTTTGCAAAACGTCTTTAAGGTATTTATTTGATTTTTTAGATCTGATTCTTCTTCTCTGGATAAAATTGGACTCTCTTTTTTATATTGTAGATGAAGAGGTCTACAAAAGTGACAGCTTGAAGGATTTTCATTTTTCCAAATTTCGCCATCTTCTACTTTGAGCAATAAAGGCACAAAAGCTGTACTGAAAAGATTTTCTTCATGCTTAAGTTCTATACTTGCGTTGCTTGTATCGTATTTCTGTTTATAAATACTTTGGCTTGATGCTCCATCAAAACCAATCTTTCCATATAAAACTCCAAATATTTCATCACTTTGACCAAAATTAGGCATATCAATCATTTCTGTTATTCTACTCACAGTGTGATCTAACATGCTCTGAAGAGTACACTTTGCAGAAATTTCAGAAAAATGTATATTCTCAGGATAGCATTTCAATTTTTCCACGAAAATATCGTGCAAGGTAGGATAAATATGTACGTTGTGTATAAGAGCTGAGTTTCTGATCATTTGATATTGTTTATCGCTGAAATCAGTATTCATTTTTAATGCAAGAGCATCCTCTACACTCATGTCAATGGGAAAGGTTTTATACAAAGTTTTATCAACTTTTTCTAAAACATTAGATATATTGTTTTTTAAAACAGAGGCTTTTTTTTTCTCCAGCAGCATATGCACTTTTTGCAAAAGCTAAAAATAGAGCTTCATCATGTTCAGTGGCTAGTTCTTTTATTTTTTTTCTTTTGCTTCTCTCTCCAAGAACACTCCATTGTTTATGGGGCCTTCCAGAACAAAAATGGCTATTTTTATTGTTCATAAGATTTCTTTGAAGCCAACGATTTTCTTTTTGTATAAATGTATCATAGTTTCGTCCACATTGTTTTAGTTTTTTCTTCACCTTTGAAATAAATATAACTAAAGCAAGCTTAACTTTATTTAAGTTTTCTTTAAGAATTTTTTTAGTATTTTTTATTTCATTAAGTAAATCCTTCCATAATTTTAATTTATCAACTCCTAATTCATGTATATTTGGAATAAGATCTAATCTTTTCATTTTTGTCGTTTTTAAGAACCATCAATATAATAAAACTAATATAATAGACACATTTTAAATTACATTACATATTTTATACTTTAGACTGTTTCAAATTTTATCTTGTTATGACTTTTAACAATTTTCACATTGTTGCATCCTGTAATAACACATATTACTTAGTTAACTTTATATTACGTGTAATATAAAGTTAACTAAGTAATATGTGTTATTACAGGATGTAACAATATGGTATTTCTTGAAACGGGAAATACCAAAGTTGTTCAATTAAGCTTTTTCAAACATGTTGTACTTATCGAATAATAAATCGTTCTTTAAAATTGTCAATAAATATTTTAACAAATTTTTAAATAGTATATAATGACAATAGCACGTTTTTTAAAACTATATTTAATATTTATGATTTAAAAACTATATTAGAACAAGTTTTACAAGCAAGAAACTTAACTTTAAGTTTCCCGCCAATTTCATTTGTTTTGATATAAAGTTCTTAGCAAAATGGCAGAAAACAAGGTTTATATAAAATTATCAACATTTGTTTTTCTTTAATAACTTCCAATACCGCAGGAGACCGCAGTAATCCTTTTACATTCCTAAAGTAGAAATGTTAATTAACTGGAAAAAATATATATATTTGTAGAACTCGGTTGAACATTTTTTTAGCTGATATATAAACAAAAAAAATACAATTATTTTCTACTTTTTTCTAGAGAAGTTTTTAAAATTAAATGAAAAAATCAGACTTTTTTTTTCTTTTTAGTATATTTGAAATATATAGAGTCAAAATATTATTTTAAAAATAAATATACACTTTTAAATTTCAAGTTCTCCATTTTAGTTGAATAAAAACCTCACATTTTTCAGATTTCTTTAAAAATAATATCAAATTTTTTATTTTGTATAAAATACAAAATAAAAGCTTTATGAAAAAATTATTTTTACTTTTGAAATAAAAAATCATTGTCTTTTAATATTATCTAACAAAGGGCACTTAATTTATAAAAAAGTGGTGAGGGGTTTATTGCCAATTTTTTGTTGTTTTGAGTCACTGTGCGCCGTCTTCTAGGTTTTGGCTTGGTTCCCAGCTCGGTTCTGGCTCTTTAACTTTAGTTGAATTTTAAAGATATGAATAACCTTTGATCATAAAATCGCGCATTAAATATTTAACAGCATAGTATCAGTATAAAAGTATAATATAAAGCAATATGTGCATCACTGTAACGTTTCCATTTATAATTTACTTTTTTTACATCCAAGATTGTTATTTATCTCTGAGTTAATAATTTCAAAAATAAAATTTAATTGGAACTTTAAACTTTAAATCTTGTTATAGTTATTTAAAGTTTGGTTTATAATCCTTTTTGTTTACTTTTTACAACTTCACCAAAGTTTGGTTTATAATCCTTTTTGTGTACTTTTTACAACTTCAACAAAGTTTGGTTTATAATCCTTTTTGTGTACTTTTTACAACTTCACCTAAGTTTGGTTTATAATCCTTCTTGTGTACTTTTTACAAATCTTCTAAGTTTGGTTTATAAGCTTTAACTTAGATATACTATACAGTCTATCAAAAATAATGAAACTAGATCAAATGATCTACTTGTTGAACAGCGCATTTGCATGGGATGTTATACACAAAAATATACCAATGGGCTTCAACAATTATTTCAAGTTTACTGGTAATATTCACAACCACAATCTTAAATCAGTATCTTGCAACAACTTATCAATCCCATCAAAGCAGGCATAAGTATGGTATCAAATCAAAAAAAAATCATTCAATTCAATCAAATCAACAAAGAAAGTTGAGGAAGAGCTCATGTTAAGTGAACTCCAATCAACTCATTTGTCAGCGTACATTACTTGGTTAACCTAACTAATAGTACGCTGTAGCACCCTCTAACACCAGGTGCAACTCTGGCTGCTTTCTCTATGCCATCTTTCTAACTCAACTACTTCTGTCTTTCACTCTAAACATATCTTGGTTCTTCCCAAACTCACTTTACTCTTGGTTCGTAGAGCGGGTTATGAAGCTCCTTGGGGACCGAACTTGTCTTTTTGAGCCTTGGTAATGTGGCCTCTATATCGCAATTAGCCAGAGGAGGATAAACCACAATACCAAAAATCATTCAATTCATTCCTGGAACTCCTTACCTAGTGAAATTAAAAAATCTTCCTATCAAGTAAATAGAAATAGATTTATTAAACAAGCAATTTTGCTCATAAAATGAGCAAAATTGCTCATAATCATGATAAACTCTTTTAAGAGTTTATCATGAAAATGCAAGATGACACTACTAAATAAGTATATAAGTATGTGTGTATGTATATGTGTATTTGTGTATCCATATGTGTATGTATGTATGAATTTCTGTGTATGTGTATGTATACATATGTATGTATGTGTGTATTTGTATAAACATGTGTATAATGCACATGCAATGTATATATATGTCTGTATATGTATGTATGTCTATATATGTATGTATGTGTATGTATAGGTGTGTGCATGTATACATATGTATGTATGTGTGCATATGTAAGTATGTGTATGTATACATATGTGTGTGTGTATGTATGCGTATGTATGTATATGTATGCATATGTGTGTGTGTACATGTGTGTGTATGCATACATGTGCATGTGTATATATGTATATGTATGTATGTTTGTATGTATGTGTATGTGTGTATATGTGTGTATGTATAAATATAAATATACTCAAAATTTAATTTTAATGTTGCATTAAACCTTAAAGTTAATATGCTTTATATTAATTTTTAACTGTTTGTAAATGTCCCTCACTATTGTATATATATATATATATATATATATATATATATATATATATATATATATATATATATATATATATATATATATATATATATATATATATATATGTGCAGTTATTAAATGGAAATATTTTGATTGATTGATTGATTTATATAATCCTTCTTGTGTTCTTTTTACAAATTCTCCAAAGTTTGGTTTTTAACCCTTCGTGTGTACTTTTTACAACTTCTTTAAAGTTTGGTTTTTTACATTTTTTGTGTACTTTTTGGTATTTTTTTGAAGGCCTTAATTTATTTTATAGAGCACTGTTTTTATTTTTTATCTTATATATTAATTTTTTTATTTATAGAAAATTTTCCAAAGATAGAAAAGGATCCAATAGTCACTGTTGGTGTAAACAACAAAAGAATAAGGTTCATTTGCGAATTCCACACTGTAAAAGAAAGTAATGCACGATATGAAGTGACATGGTTTCAAGGGCCTGTAGAAGAACAAATTAAAGGTCCTGAAATTTTTACAAGTGATCAGAATAGAAGTTTTCTTCAAAACACTAATAAATATGGAGAGAATTGCACATTTCACATGGGCTATAATGTAAGTTAATGTTTATGGTTAATATTGTTTCGGTTGACTCTTAATTGAAATAAATATCAAATTAAAAATACGTTTTTTCCAAGTGATTTCCAAGTGTTTATTCACAAAAAAAACAAGTTATGTTTATTTTGTGAATAAAAATTAGAAAATAAATTTTGAGTTTAATAAAACTACCAAAACAAATTATTTATTGAGATATTAACAAACAACACTTTTTATTTTGCCATTATACTTAATATACTAAATATCAAATTATAAATACGTTTTTAAGTGATTTCCAAGTGTTTATTCACAAAAAAAACAAGTTATGTTTGTTTTGTGAATAAAATTTTCCCTATTTATAAAAGGTGTTTGCGCTATATTAAGCATTTTAGTTCAATTTGAGACTTTTGAAAAAATAAAAATGAAATTAAATGAGGAATACTGTTTTTCTATATTGTTTTTCTAAATTTTTATTTTTCTAAATTTTTATTTCCATTAAAAAGTTTCATTTTCATTCACCATGAAATGAAATTAATTTTCACTATTTCTAGAATTTATAAATATGAGATAAGTAAATTTTTTTACATATCTCATATTTATAGATAAATTACATATCTCCTAATTATAAAAATATTTTTTACATATATTTACTTATCACGTATTTATAGCATTATTATTAGTTTTGTTATTAAAATAAAATAAATATACCCAGTGGGCACAAGGCATGTTTATGAGATCTAAAAAATGTATGCAAATGCATTAACACATGTATTAACACATTCAAGGTCTAAAATATGTCTTGTGCCCACTGGGTAAATTAGACTACCGAAGCCTAATTGATTGTGTTACTTATATATTGCGTTATTTTTATTTGGTTATTGTATGTTTTATAAAAAGTTATAATTAAAGGCTTTCTACTACATTAAAATAATTGCAGATGGGAAAACCCCAAACATAACATTTATAACTTGAGTTTAAGTTAATTGAAAGAACTTTTTTTTATTGATGTCATTTAATAACCACAATATCACATTATTCAGTCCAGTAATTTAAAAAAGAATTAAAAATACCAGAACTTACCTTAGAAAAAATAAAAATGGCATTAAAATTTTTTCACAAAATGAAAAAGTTTTTTGCTAATATCTTGATATATAATTTATTTTGGAAAGTTTTATTTGCATAAAACTAATTTTTTAAGGAAAATTTAAGAACCCAATTTGTGTTGGCACTTGTTGATCACTTGAAAGATGTTTTTTGCTTTGATATGAAAATTAAACAATTTTTTATAGTTTAAATTTTAAAGTTCTATTGTTAAATGTTTTATGCAAAAAAACTTAACATATGACAGAAATTTTAATATGTATATATTTATTTTAAATATATTTTAAAATGTCGCCAAAATATTATCCTATAATATATAACTGATTAGGCAGATATTAACAGATTATAATAAAAATAATAAATATTTAAAAATACCTTATTGCGTGGTCTAAAGTCTAAAAGGAAATATTACAAGGCCAAGCGTGCTAAATCTTCTTTAAAAAGCTCCGTGTTAAACTCACAAAAATGTGTAACACCATTAGCATCGTTAAATTGATCATTAATTATAAGTGATAAGCAATTATATTATGCTAATTATATTAAATAGGATAATTTTAAACTGGTATTTCAATATTGTTTTTGGCAAGAATTTTTATATTTTTCGTATGTAAAATTTTTTTTTTTTCCATAACTTCATGTTTTTAAAATAAATAAATTTCCTACTGCTTTTTAAACAAAATCTCATCTTACATTTCTTTAACCACAAACATGTTTTATACCCAACTATTGCTGTTCAAAATTATTAATACATGTTTGTACTTTTCTTGTTATGCATATCTGTTTTGCATACTTCATAACTTGTTATGCATATCTGTTATATATACTTTATCTAATCTACTTCTTATAATACATTACTTTTAAATATTGTTATCTGCATAGATAATTTAATGTCTTTTCATAATGTTATCTACTTCAAATATATGTGTTTTTTACATAACATTTTTTCATTCAAATAATCCAATGTCAAGATCATTAGCTCAAAAAGGTTCACAAACATATCATTATTAATAAAATAAAAATATTTTCTTACTTTAATACCATTTATTATTTTAAATTCTGCACAACTCCTTAAGTAGTAAAAAGAAATCATTGTGTCTTTGGTTTATTAAAACTCTTTTTACAAAGCTTGCTTTCTTTAAACTTGAAACTTGTTAAACTGTTTTTAAACTTGAAACTTGATAGTTGTTATACATTTAAAGTACAACTATATATAATTATTTTGCTTAATTTTCTAAATTTTTAAAATTATTTTACTTAGATTTATTGCAAAGTTCGATCATATTACATTGAAAGTAAAGAAATAAAAAGTCGATATAGGAAAAGTAATGAATTTTTTGCAGGGTTTCAGGTATTTTTTTGGAATTAGGTCTTTTTTTTATATATTTTTTGTTTCAGGCATTTTCTCGAAATAAGGAATATAACATTTTGTATTTGATTTTTGTTTGCTTTATTTCTAATTTTTTTTTTTTTACTGTTATTCCAAAAATTTTACATTTTATTATTTACTCATTTTGTAAATCTTCACCTTTTCTTGAATAAAAACTGGAGTTGAGAGTGTAATGGCATTAAAAATAATAATCAAAAGAAAACATAATAATGGAGCATTATTGCAATAAAGTTCCTGCCAACTTTTCTCAATCCAATGTTGTCACACTTTGATTTCAGGTCAATAATATAAAACTCAAAATAGCTCAAAAATGTTACTTCATTTAAATTGCCCATACTCAATAATTCTGAGCTCAAAATTTTCAACAAAAAAGTTAGCATCATTGAATGTAGTGCTCCAGTTCTTACTTTATGTATTCTTTTGGCAAAAAAAAAATTGCCAATTGCAAAATTTGATTTTTATCAATGACAAAAATCACATTTCCAATGTATTTTAGTGCAACTAAAGTACATTGTATAGTGCAACCTTTAGATGAATTTTTTGAAATAGTTTAAGATAAGAGTTTGAAACAGTTTGATATTTTAGGAGAACATCAATTTATATCAAAAATATTTAGCATAAGCAAATTTATCTTTAGATGAATTTTTTGAAATAGTTTTTGAACAGTTAATTTATGAGAGCATCATTTTATATCAAAAAGTCAATCCAATATTAAAAAACTGATTTGAAAGAAAAACAAGTTTTAGTTCTACTTAACAGAAAACTACAGTTTTATAATACTGGGCGTAGTACAAGTTTTTTACAGGAATAACAGCAAAGCAACTTTACACTACTTTTTTGTCTATTTTCTAAAACATGAAAAACTTGATGGTCAAAGTTACTATGTTATATCAGATCATCTGGGGCTAGATAATTGTTAACATTAATTATTTTTAATTGTAATTTTATAACAAATAACATTATTTAATTCAATGCAATCATTTAATTTGTTAACTTTGAATTTTATAAATAATTTATTTTTATTGAAAATTTACATGATTTTTATAGACTTTTATTTGAAATAATAAATAAGTTCTCGTTAATTTTTTTGGTTTTTAGTAATTGACAATCTTTGATTGCGTATAAAATTTTTAGAAAAAGAAAAAGTGTCATCTTAGGTAAAAAATGCTTTGCATTGGGAACACTCTTCGATTTATGTGTATAAAAATTTTAGGAAAAGAAAAAGTGGTAAGGTAAACAAATGGTAAGGGTATCAAAGTTTTTGCATTGGTAATCAATTTAATAAAGATTAAATTCTTTAATCAACTGATTTTTTTAAATTTTTATCCACTATTTGTTGATCAACAGGCAATTTAATTTGTGATGAAAACAAATTTTGGTCTTTTTGGGAAATTTTGTAATATTAGTGTTTGATATATAGTGAAAGCAATTGTCTTTTGTGTTTAAGATTTCAAAGTAGTGGTTTTTTAACTTATCTAACCATCTAGCTGTATATATTCTATACCTATTAAACACCTTTTGTGTTTGAAATATCAGTATTTATAAAATAAAAATATCAAATAATTTTTCCAAAATGGAATGAATTACTTTTTTAACTCAAATGGTTGGTTATTATCAAGTTTTATTACAAAATGACAAACATTAAAAGTTTCGAAAAATATATAAAAAAAAGTTTTTAGGGCATAGTTAAATTTATTTCATATATTTTCTAGTTGGAAATGCACCAGATTTACAATCAAACATGAAAAAAATTGTTTAAATTGCTTTGAAATTTAATAAAAAAATAGAAGAATTTTTTTTTTAATGGTTCAAATAAAATCTTGCTTGTTTTTTGTTTTTTTTAAAGTTGATAAAAAGTTTATTTTACATTAAAAAAATACTATTAGGTTTTAAATACTTCATCTCAAACACTGGAGATTTTGTAATACTAAACCATAAATTCTTTGGAGCCTGCATATTATTAACTTTGATTAGATATGTTGCATATGTTCTTCAATGTTTACATATCAATGCAATGTTTGCAAAAAATTTTACATATCTGCATACTCTTTAATGATTCTCTGCTTTTTTTTTCTAAATTAAATAAATTTTTTAAAATTTTTGGCATCATAGTTATTTTCAGAGGGTAAACCATTGCCATGATTATATTGTTTGTATTAACATTATGAAGTTGGTTAAAATTTTTATGTCCTTACTGCATCATAACAAAATCTGATGAGACAGAAATTTTTTTTGTTTAAAAATTTGAAATTTTGTTTAGAATTTTTTAAGGTAGAGTTAATTCCAACATGCGAATTGAAAAGGGAAGTTGTTTTTAAAAGAGTTATTGAAGTTATTAAATTTTAAACGGCTTGAATTTCTTTTTAGTTTAGGTAAACATCTATTTTGTTTTTGGGAAATTTTCTTGCTAATTATATGCTGATTTTCTCAACAGTGAATCATAGCAACAGGGATGAGGAGTTCCAACTTCGATTCTCCGGACTCCAGTTTTGAAGTCAGAAAATAATTACTTCTTCCTGTTTTTTGGTATCCAAAAGGTTCAAAAATATATAGTGGCTTATGGACTACTTTTAGAAAAAAAATTAAAACTTTAATTGTTTTTAAAACGTTTAACATTTTTAACCAAGAGCTTTTGAATATGGCAGACTCTAGAACTCTAAAAACAATGTTTTCCATGTTTTTTTGCAATCATTAGTCACTCAAAACTTTTAATGCTCCTGGACACTCCTGAAATTTTTTTCAGATTCCACATCTCTGCTTAGCAAGTTGCAGCGGTATTCTTAATTGATATTTGTTATTTTTTTTAATGGCTAAAAACACAAAACTCTATCACATCAATATTGTTGCTTTAAATTCAAAGTTTATTTACATTTTCCTAGAGTTTATCTGCTCTTTGAGTTATTGATTTTTGAAAAATATTTTGTTTATTTTTTAATGTTATTCACCTCCCTTAGATCAAGCGAGCCACAACAGTCAAGAAGGTTACTTTATTTCCTTTTTTTATTGTTGTTGTAACACTCTATCTTAATTTTCCTTTTTACTTTTTAATTTAGAAACATGAACCTTTACAAACAAGGCTGCTGCTCAGCATCCTTGTAAATTTATTTATTCTGATTTTCACCAGGCACCTGGTGAAAATCAAACTTAGAGCTTCTTGCTTTTTTAACTAGCACATCACTATTATATATTATTATTCCTGTTTTATTTCTTTATTTGTCTTTTGCAGTAATCATGTTGACTAAGCTTACCTTCATTAAATGAAGTTTAAAATGGTTTTACAAAATTTAGTTTTGATGATAAGTGTATTTTTATTTGAATTAATTGAAAAATATTATTTTTTAACAACTATATTTATTTGATTATTTAATATGTGCTTGTCAGTCTTAAAAAATTTAGTTAAAAAAATTAATATATTTGCTAAAACTAATTTATAATTTTTATCAATATTTATTTTTTAGTATCCTCTAATCCTTAGTAATCTGCTACTCTTCTTGGTACTGAACTAATATTTTTGTCTAAAATTATTTTAAAAAGTTCTGTTTTTTATAGTTTTCATCTTAAAGAGGCAGAAACAAAGTAAAATGTTTAAAATGTACAATCTATTTCTGAAATCATAATCAACATTTGTATAGATTACATGCTTATCTGTATAGATACATGCAAATAGATGCATGCAAATAGGTGCATATTTGTATGGATACATTCAAATCATAATCAACATTTGTATAGATTACAAAATAAACATCATTAAAACGTTTTAATATTAGTATTAAGGACATCATGGTGTTTAACTTTATACTATTGACCACCAATACAGATAAATTTCTTGACAATTATTATTTATTTATATATATACATATATATATATATATATATATATATATATATATATATATATATATATATATATATATATATATATATATATATATTTATATCTATATTTATATATATATATATATATATATATATATATATATATATATATATATATATATATATATATATATATATATATGTATATGTTTATATATATATGTATATATATTATATATATATATATATATATATATATATATATATATATATATATATATATATATATATATATATATATATATATATATTGTTTGGAACAAAACACGCTTTACAAAAACAGTAATTCTAATTTCACATAAAAAATAATCTGTATTTGAAATTAAACAGAAATTTGAACCAAAGATCGTTATCTTTTTTAGCCTTTAATGCAGGGCTGTGGAGTCGGAGTTGGGAGTTTCGACAATTTTAGCGGAGTTGCTAAAAAATATCGCGACTCCAACTCCGATAGTAATATTTCTTGGTATTACACGTGTATTTAAAAAATTTCAACTTATCCCGCCATATTTTTTAAAGAATTCAAAGAATTTTTCAAAAATTTTGCTTTGGAGTCAGAGTTGGATTCAGAGGCGGAGTTGTACTCAAAAAATTTCAACAACTGGAGTCGGAGTCGTTACTTTTTTTTTACGACTCCACACCCCTGCTTTAATCTAAAGATGCTTGTTGTTGTAGTCTAGCACTCAGTCAAACAACTGGTTTCCATAGTTAGGGTTGTCCAAACTTCTTTTGTATCTTACCCATTGAGAGCTGAAGACTGAATGAAGTGCCTCATATAATTGCTCACTAAAACAACCAAGCCAAGTGTTGTACATTTTGATAAACTCTTTGATTTGGGGGAAATAATATAAACTTTTGGAGTCACTGTGACCGGCAGAATTTTGATGTATTCTTGAAATGCATCAGTGTGCATCTAGGGATAGATTGTTTCGAAGCAAGAATGAATAACACTTCAAAGTTGTTTAGAAGCCTTGACAAAATTCATGGCATGAGCAACTTGATGTTTTGTCTCAAGCTCACTCAAAAGATTTGTTGAGAAGCTTTATACAGTCATTTCCAGCAAACTCTTCACCACAGTACGGTTAAATGTTCAAATGCAACTTTCAAGGCCATTTACTGGCTTTTTAGCAGATTTCTTATTGTTTTTCACAGATTACTCATATTAAGATGATTCACCACTCCAAGTAAAAGGTGGAAATTTCATAAAAAACTTATTTCAACCGATAACTCAACAGCTTTAAAATTAATTTTGCCTCGTCAATATCAATCAAATAGTATGTTAGTTAAATGAGCTTTTGCATTAATAAATGGCGTAAAGGCCATGATGAGATTCATTCTCTACGCAATGGCGGCATGTAAGTTTAATCTCCAAATTTAAATATCTAGAAGCTTTTGTATTTGTAAATTAAAAAAAAGAAGATCATTTATACAAATTTAAGTAAATATATCAATCCCTTTTTATGGTTTACACAAATAAAACATGAAATACACATTTCATTGCAGTTTTCATTTTCTGATTTTTTTTAAGTTGCTTTTTTTGGTATACTTTATTAGCAAATTAAGTTTACTGACAGTAATTTATATTATATCTATCTATATAGCACTAAATCTTAGCTGAATATAGATTGTTTTTTTGTTTATTTTTTTAACTATAGTTTTTTTGAACCTTTATTAGCAAATTAAGTTTACTGACAGTAATTTTTATTATATCTATCTATATAGCACTAAATCTTAGCTGAATATAGATTGTTTTTTTGTTTATTTTTTTAACTATAGTTTTTTTGATCCTTTGAGAATTTTAAACCATTTGAGAATCCTGCATTTTAGGTGGTCCCATAAGGTTTGCTAACACTTTGAATATAGAAGTGCCTGATGCAGCATATTTTTGTTGAGAATTTTCAATTAAAAAAATGAACAATTATATTTTTAAAATTTTCAAAACTTTGTATTGATCAATGTTTTCTGCTAAATTGTCTGCTAACAATATTGTGAGATAATAGAAAATTTCATGTAGGAAAAGAGAAAATTCAAACTAAAATTTTTTATTTTAGGTAAATCCAAAGGTATTGGTTCTTTCAGAGCAAGAAGCTCCGGTTAATATCACTGTTAGATCAACAGTACCTATTGTATGTGGAGATGGAACTGAAAAGTGTAGAGTTCTCATTGAGATGGGTCAAACAACTACTGACCATTTTGTAGATCACTGTACATTGCAATTTAAACCTGGTCCAGCCGGACAGAAAAAAGAAGTTGAAGTGGTTGCTAAACGAGACTTTGTGGATGATGGGGATCAGCGTATGTTTTTGAAATTGTTTATTCCAGACCACATAGATCCAGTGGATTGGAGTTGTCATAAGCAATTTACTGATGTTGAGGTAATTTTTTTTTTTTTTTTAAATCAAACATTTGGGTTCAGGTTGACTTGCTGATTGCATATTTTTTTAAATAAAAATGGTTATTCAAGAAAAGCTAAATAAAAGTTTCATTACATTTTAATTTTGTTAAAACTCTCAAATCACATCATAAACTCTTTATAAACTGAAAAGCAGTGCAAACATTTTAATATATCTACTTTAACAAATTAAATGAGAAGTAAAAAAAAAATAGTGCATAAATTAATTTGTATAAAAAAATTCTTCAGTTACTTTGTTTTAGCTGATAAAAAAAATTTAATAATTTATTTTATCAACTGTAACAGAGTTCTAAGCCTAAAATTAGGCATATAACTGAGAATGGTGAGATGATGAAAAAATAAGAGCAAAAAAAAAAAAAACCTAAATTGTTTTTTAGTAATATCTTGATAAATACTTTATTTTTGGTAAGTTGAAATTAATATAAAATTCTTTTTTTAATTTTTTTTACGACATAAAATCAACTTGTCTTCGTACTTAGGAATATAATTTTAGATAAGAACAATTGATATTAAAACAGCACGATGCACATCTTCTGGTGATCCTCACTTTACAACATTTGATCGATTATACTACAGTCATTATTATGTTGGAGATTATGTTTTAGTTCAAAGTACAGCACGAAATTTCAAGGTAAATAGATATCATTTTTATGTAAAAAAGTTATGTAATTAAAGATATTATTGATATGTATAGAGCTGTGGTCAAATCGTGACTTATCATATATCATAATCTAATTAAGTTATCTTATTATAAATATAAAACAATATATTTAATGTACCAATTTAAAATAGTACACAGAAATAAAATTAATTAATAAGCAAACATGCATACAGGATTGGTTCTCCAGCTGTGCCAACCTTTTAACTAATTAGAAAAAAAGTGTAGATTTATAATAGAATATAAAACATAGAACTACCGTGACTCATATTATGGGTCCTGGCCATTAGTATTAATAATTATTTCAATAAACTTGAGTGAATATAAAAAGTTTACCAAAAAATTATTAAGAAAATCATATAACTCTGTTCCACTAAAAAAAACTATTATATTTATTTTTAGCCTTAAAAAATTATTTTATAAATAAAAAAAAGATAAAGAAACTTGTTGGCTGAAAGTTTTATATATAAAATATAAAATTTAAAATGAATGTATTTATTCTAAGTATATTTAAGTTTCCACACATATTATGTAGATATTAACATGATATTATCTTGCAGTGTAAAGAGCTTTTTAATAATGTAATACCTCCAGGAATCAACAACAAATAAATTATAATAGTCATAAAAATCAGTGGTACGCGATAGTGATAATAAAAGCATTATGCAATAAAAAGAAAAAATAAGTATGTATTCAATTATCAATTTCATTGATATCACCTGAAAAAAAAAATTTATTAACCACCTATTTGGATAAAATTTATCCATCATTACATGTTTTAAATCTTTACATTTTTACGGATAACATTTTCAATGGATTTTGTACAACGTTTATTCCGCTATCACATAAATGTTAATTTTTTTGATGACTTAAGGTTGCATGGGTTGCTCATTCTTTTACACTTTTGATTGATTAATATAATTTGAATGAGGTATCTATGACAGCGTTAGAGTTTGTTAAAGACTATTATTTTTTATTGATTTTTAAAATTTTTAATAAGGTAAATTGCTTACTGATTGTCTTGGGTTTATTTATGCTAAAAGTACCTATTTGGTTTTAATACTATTTTAAAAATATTATTAGTGATTTTATTTGCAAACTTACTTGAGTTGCTTTAATTTTATTTTGATGTTTCTATTACATTTTTTTTTAAAATACTTTCTTCCAGTGGTATGGTAAGTGATTTGATCTAATTTTTTTATTTATACTTTATAGTAGATCTACACTTTCACTATCATATCATCAAAAAAATAGTAGTGCTTTATAAATTTGGATATGGTTGGGTTTTGGCTATTTGTAGTGAGTTCTTTTTTAAATGCAGTATGGAATAGGCGTAAGTTGCGGGGTAAAGCATAAGTGGCGATAATGTTTGTCTGACGGGATAAAGTAGTTATAAATGCTGATCCTCATCGAAACGCCAGTATCAATAGACGCGACTCTGAGGAGATGTTTATTACTTAACTACTATACAAATTACTTTTACACATTAGCATTAAAGTTTTTTTTCCAATTTTAGACATTGTTGTGTGCATACTTTTTATTTTGTTGTAAATATTTTGTTTTGTAAGTTTATGTTTGGTGATATATTTGTTGTATATTTTATTAATTTTAAGTGTTTATAAAAATTTTATTTTTTATTATTGTAACTATTGTTTGGGTGCATTGTTTGTCTTATTTTTGTCATTGTATTAGTAAATTTTTAAATATTATTCTAATAATCTTTATTTTGACAAATGTCAAAATATGCTTTGTTCGAAAAATAGTTCTCCTCTCTTCTAATCTATTTTATTTTCCCCTCAGACGTTCACTGCTCGTGTGTGACCATTTGGCACATTTATATGCCAAAGTTTTTAAATAAAAATTATTTTATTTAATTTCAGCCTCAAATTTTTTTATAAATAAAAAATGATAAGTTAAAGAAACTTAAAACTATCCATAAAACTTTTATATATAAAGTTTAAGATAGTATATTTAAAATTCCACACTAAAACTGTAAATCTATTTTAATAATAATAAATCTTTTCCATTGGTTGTACAACAAATACATATTAAAGGATTGTTATTCAATTGGTTATATTTTGCATAAAAAATTTATTTTAATATAAAAAAACAATCAGATAAAGTGTGGTGTATTTATAAATGTTTAAAATTTCATACTAAAACAAAAGATCTTAGATTTAAGAATAATTTAAGAAGAGATTTAAAAAATAACTGACTTAATTTAATTGTTTATATAAATTTAATTATTTAATTTTTTTCTTTGGCATTTAAAGCATCTACCAAAATATGATTATGTTTAAACTTTTAATCAAGTAGTATAAATAGTAGTATAAATAAGACTTCTAATCAAAAATTTTTACGAGTTTTTTTTTTTTTTTTTGAATTATTTAGAATTAAAATTTCATAAAAAAATAATAAAAATGTGTATTGAAAATTGTAATCCTGATTCAAAGTGAAGCTCCTGAGATAATTTTTAAAGTTTTAATTTTTATTTTTAATTTTTATGAAATTCAATAAAAATAATGTTTAATCGTGATTTTTTGCTTTAATCAAAACTAGCTTTAAAAAGGTTCAGATTACCCTTATGATCAGAATTTACTAAAATTTTATAGCTAAAATTTAAAATTAAATTAATTTTTATTTAAATGTGTAGTAATTCTAATTGGGGACTGCAAGTTTATCAATGTCAAATCAATAATTTTGACATTTTTTATATAAGCTATTTTTTATAGGTTCATGCTCGAACTTTTGCTTGCAGCCAATCAGTTTCTTGTAATTGCGGTGTAGCAGCACAAGAAGGTGATGATGTGATTGTGATTGATATGTGTAGAGACAATGTACCTAGAGCTCGTTTTGCCAGTAAAGTAGATCCTCAATCAGGAACATCATTAACAAGAGATAACAACGGAAAGACATTCTTGGTAATGAAAGTTTTCTTTAACAATATATTCCTAGCTTTTTTGTTTAACAAGTTGCATAAATCAAAAAAAAAATTTTAGCTCCATAATTTAGTCTTAATTTAGATTTAATTTAGGGTTGGCATTCAGCAATGCTGACCTAACTGCTGATGATAAAGTGTTTGAGGTCGGTAAAATATTGGTGACCTTGTTTCTATGTTTTATGGTAAAAAATTTTATTGCTGACCACTAATAGTATAAGCTCATTTCTCCTAATTACAAGGGCTGAAATATACATATATACTTAAGCTTTTATACTTTGCTGGTTACACTTTGTAGACTTTGGTTTTGAAAAGAAATTTTAAAATAAACATTGTCAATAATAAAGTATCTGCAAGAACAAAAAAAATTACTCTTTAACAAAAGTAAATCATAGTATTTTTAAGTTAAGTAAACTAAAAAACTAAATATATATATATATATATATATATATATATATATATATATATATATATATATATATATATATATATATATATATATATATATATATAAATAAATATATATATATATATATATATATATATATATATATATATATATATATATATATATATATATATATATATATAAATTTAAAAAAATCTAACCAACTAAGTAAACCTACTTTTTTTTGTCTTTTTTTTTAATTATCAGTCCTTTATCTGTTTAAAATAAGATCTTTTTAGCATTTGATTTTATAACATTTTGTATCAATAACAACTAATGGTGTCAGATGGTTTCAACAAGTCAATTTAAAAATTCAGCAATTTTGCTTTGGTTGAATTTTGTTTTGTTTTCTGAAAAAATTTATTGAATGAATGGTTGCAATAAATTATCTGATATAAATCAATTATGCTTTGAAACTAAATGAATTATTTTAAATTTGCCATGTTTTAGTTGTATTTTGATACCATTTACTAAAATCTTAGATTTAAGAAATCATTTCACTTAGAAATTAAATAAATAAATAACTTCAGTTAACTGTGCTTTTCTATTCTGATATTATTTTAAAAAATATTTTAAGATATCATTTCCATCTGGTGCTTTTATAAAATTTACTACTCATTACTGGAGAAACCATTTTGCAAACATTGAAGTTCAACTACCACCTGATGATTTCAATAAAACACAAGGTTTATGTGGAACTTTTGACAATAACCAATACAATGATATGATGGCTAAAGATGGGAAAATATATTTGGATAAAAATGGATGGTTTGCAAAACCTGAGTTTTCTGAAAGTTGGAAGTAATTTTTGTGTTTTTAAATTTTTTTTATACTTTATTATATTTTTTACTTTAAACTTTTTATATATATTTCTAACATTCTTTTGTTATGTTTTTACTTTTAACTTTTTATATACATTGTTTACATTCTTTTGTTATATTTTTACTTTAGGCTTTTTATATATATTGTTAACATTCTTTTGTTATTTTTCACTCTAAGCTTTTTATATACATTGCTAACATTCTTTTGTTAATTTTCAATTTAAGCTTTTTATATATGTTGTTGACATTCTTTTGTTATGTTTTTTACTTTAAGCTTTTTATATATTATTAACATTTTTGTGTAATTTCATTTCTTTAATTTTTTTATCTTGAAAACTAAATGTTTCTTGTTAATGATTTTATTTGTTTTATGTTGTAGACTTAATGCTTCTCAAGAGAATTTGTTTTACTTCAAAGATGAGCCTAAAAAATGTACAGCAACACGAGCTAAAACATATTGCATTTGTAGTCAAGGTTGCAGTGGGTCTCAACGAAAAGTCAATTGTGATTTTGAAGGGTATGTTGATCGTCCCAAATACATAAATGGAATGATTGGCTGGAAATTTTTGGAATTTCCAGGTAACAGCTGTTCTCAGTTGTTTTATTTTAATTTTGTTTTTAAATGCATGTAACTAATACATATTTTTAAAGTAATGTGGACATTGAAAAGTAGAATACTTTTGTATTTTTAATTGCATTTTATTTTAGGAGCTAAGCATTGTGGACGTCGTAAACGCAGATCTATGGATGACAACATAATTGTCCTTCCTGATGATGGTAGTACAGGAATTTATGATTACAACCCTGTTCAAGTTTCTGGTATTCTTACAAACTTTCCAACTGCATCTGGTATAACAGAAAATGAAGCAAAAGAGGTTTGCAAAAATAGAATAACGAATTCAACAGCTGGAAAAGCTTGTCTTGATGTCATTGGACCTTCATTTTTAACAGATAGTTATGAGCAGCAATGTGTTATTGATATTAAGGTAAGATGGTATTGCTTAGAATTAAGGTAAGATGATATTGCTTAGAATTAAGGTAAGATGGTATTGCTTAGAATTAAGGTAAGATGGTATTGCTTAGAATTAAGGTAAGATTTTATTGCTTAGAATTAAGGTAAGATGATATTGCTTAGAATTAAGGTAAGATGGTATTGCTTAGAATTAAGGTAAGATGGTATTGCTTAGAATTAAGGTAAGATGGTATTGCTTAGAATTAAGGTAAGATGATATTGCTTAGAATTAAGGTAAGATGGTATTGCTTAGAATTAAGGTAAGATGGTATTGCTTAGAATTAAGGTAAGATGATATTGCTTAGAATTAAGGTAAGATGGTATTGCTTAGAATTTAATCTGCAACATTATGACTACAAGAGCAGTTTAGGTCAAGTTTTTTGTCAATACTTTAAATCTTTCACAAATTTTAAATTTATAAAAAGTATTACAAAACTGTTTGTTTGTTTTTTTTTAGTTTTTTTTATAAAAATTATTTTTTTAATCTTTTTGTAAGAATATTTATAAGAAATTATAAGAATTAAAATGTATAACAAAAAGTATGCCCACATAATTTTTTTTTTGATATAAGTTACATAAATATATCTAAAGGGTAAAGTAGCATTGGGGAGGTAACAATTTTTCTTGTTTTGTTATTTTTCAACATTTGGCTGCAAGCAACCACTTTTAGAGGCTGCAAGCAACCACTATTAGAGCTGCAAGCAACCACTATTAGAGCTAAAAATTACTAGCAGAGAAAATATAAAATTTTTATAATAAGAAAATGATTAGCAGTCAACTTAAAACATTCCAAATTATATGAATCAGGAAAACAAAATGAATTCCAAATTACTGATGTTCAAAGAAAAAAACTAGACAAATAAGAATTTTTGGAGCACTTAGGAACAGTTATTGTAAAAGGATTTGCTTTAATGAATAGTAATACAAGAATGAATTTTAATACAGATGCTAGCTCTTTATAGTAGTGCCCATTATTGTACCTATAAAAGAGAAAGAGAAGCAACATTACGATGATATAATAATGTATGGAAATCACTTTATATACAGAAGCTGGAGTGATACGAAAGTCAGGCAATGGGTTAACCTATTTTTCAGCAATATCAGGTAGTACACATTCTATTGATGTTTGCTGAAAATATTTCATTATATTCTATAATGAGAAGATTTCAGCAATAATTTTTAGAAAACAATTCAGCATTGTTTTTAGGTGAGGTAACAAAATATGAATCATACAAGAGGTGGAATAACAGATTTCTCTTTTTAAAAGATATTGTTAAAGATTCTCAGAAGTCAAGAGAGACTAATTTTTAAAAAGAAATACGAGATTTTGTGACCTGAGAATAGCAGGCTTTGGCAAAAAGCATTGTAAAGAAGACAAAACTTTTTTATAATGCTTTCTAGCAGTAGTAAACAGACATCTGTTTTCTAAAGAATTGTTTTGCTGATAGATATGGAAGTAATGGTTACGGTTAGAAATTGCAGCAGCACAATGAAAGGAAAACCATGGAGAATAGTGAGGCTTGATTTGAAGGGAATAAAGGATTCTATGCAAGCCTGAATCCATAAAGTTATGTTGAAAGCACATTTGTCAGCAGGAAGAGGAAAGATTTCTACTCAAGAGCCATCATGAAGAAAGTCACAGAAAGAGTTCCAGTCAGCTTTAAGGTTGTTGTAAGAGTTACATTGATAAAGGGATTCTGATAAAGAAGAAGAATGAGGTAATAGGTATAGAGTGATCAAACTGATATCAGAAGCACCTACGGGTGAATGTGGAGAAACTGAGCACTAACTAGGATCAAAAATAAGACATGCTCAAGACACAAGTTGTGTAAAAAAGGTAAATGATTCGAGTTATCTGGAAAGCAAATTTGAAAGTTGACTACTGTGTTGGAGGTTGAAAAAGGTAAAAGTTGTGGGTCTTAATGCCTGCAGAGTCACTGACAATAAAGCCAAACCATTAAGTGTGATGGGTATTAAAGTCACCAACAACAAAAATATTGTCTTAAGTACACTATTTACATAATTTACTTTTTTTCATGCTTAAGTTTATTGTTATAAATAAAATTTTTGCAATTTATTTATAAACTAAAGTATGTAGCGTTACAATTCAAACAATAGTTTGTCTTCATTTTGTATCAATTTTACAAAAGCATTCTCATAATAAGCTACTTTACCCTATTTCATAAATATACTTATTTTACAAAAATCATTTTAATGTACATATCTATATTAAGAAATATTTTTCCCATGCTTGGCCTCCCTGACACATACATTAATCTTAAATTAAATATTCAAACTAATAAAATGCTGCTTTTTAATCTAGTAGTACACAGTAAATAAATATAATTGATATATTTTTTAAAAATATATTTATATTTTTATTATTATTATTTCAATTATAATTTTAAAAAATGTAACGCTAGTTTACTTGTTTTATACAGGTAATTACTGTTGTGTTCAATGTATAATTTATATGAAAATAACATAAGAGCAATACCATTGCATTTAATTCAAATTATACATTGGACATAACAGTAATTGTCCATTTTATGTTCAGTTTTTAATTAAATTATAAATAGAACAGGTAATTAATGTTATGTTCAATTTATAATTGGTATGAAAATAACATGATGCTTATCACAGTGGCTTGGTAAACAATATTACTTACTAAACATTGGTTACTTAATGGACAAGCGGTTTTAGTAATACAGTTGCATGTTTTTGAGTTCTAATGATCCAGATCCTAAGGAAAAAGTATATTTTGGTATCAGTGAGACACCATTCAAGCTCAGATACGCAAATCATTTAAAGTCTTTTAATGCGATCAAATATAAAAATGATACTGAACTTTCAAAAAAAATTTGGAGTTTAAAAGAAAAAGGTACAACACCTATTATAAAGTGGAAAATTGTAAAACGCTGTGAAGCTTACAAACCAGAAACAAAAACCTACAAACTTTGTCTTCATGAGAAGTTAGAAATTATATCTTTTAATGGAAACAACCTGCTTAATAAAAAAGACAAAATATTATCTAAATGTCGACATTTAAATAAATTCCTATTATCTTCGTTTGATACTGGAGATTAAATGATTGCGCCTTTTCAAATTACGTCAGAACTCGTTCTACCGTAAAATTTTGATTCGTTTTTTAAACGTTAATTTTTAATTTTTAATTTGTAATTAATAGTTGATGATTGCCGAAAGGCACGAAACTTTAAGTACTATTATAATGTTGTTTTTCTTCATTTAAATAAAATATATACATATATATATTGCTCTATTATCATAATATTAAGCACTGTTTTTCGTACAAGAGTTTTGTATTATTTTATATAATACATAATCAATCAATATATATATATATATATATATATATATATATATATATATATATATATATATATATATATATATGTATATATATATATATATATATATATATATATATATATATATATATATATATATATATATATATATATATATATATATATATATATATATATATATATATATATATATATATATATATATATATGTATATATATATATATTATTTTTGTAAAACAGATGTTAATCCAGGAAATACAAATACATGATAAAAAATACATATTGTTAAATGCAAAAATTAAAAAAAAAATAGAAATAAGGTTAAAAAAAATATATGATAAAACTATTCATAAAAACTTTTACCCAAAAATATAAAAATTAGCAACCACATTGGCTTTGTATAGTTGTATAGAAGACAAACTATGCAAATATATTTGTATAGTTTGTCTTATAAATATACCTTTTGTGGTAAAAAATGGCTCATAACAACTCTTTGTGTTTGAAGAACATAAAATTAAGTATACTTTATATCAAAATGTTTTATGATAAACACTCAAAGATTATCTTGAATTAAACACAATAACACAATGGATGTGTATGCAATATAAATGTGTAAAAACATACATATATAATATATAGAAACAAAAAAACATAAAAATAAAAACAAAAAACATGAAAATAAAAACAAAAAACAAAAAAATTAATAAAAGATATTGTTGTTGTGGACTGTTGGTGAAACACTATCCTCAGGCCTACAATGCATTCAAAAATGGTGTTTCAAAGGAGCTGATAAGGAATGACTAACACCACTTGTCAGGGATGTGTCCTAGTAACCTCTATCATTTTGCTTAGTCTTTTACTAATATTTCCTTGTCTGACTTGTTTTTCTGAATCTGATTTGACTATTTTAGTTTAACTAAGAATTGAAAATTAATTTTATTACAATTTCTTATTTTAATTGTTAAATAAGTGAATAAAAAGATAATGTGATGAGGTTAGAAACATGTTGTAAAATGATGGGTGTTTAATATTGTTTTAATAATTTTTTTAAGGTAACAGACAGTTTAGCAATGGGTGTTGAATCTGCCATTAATAATTTAATCAGTGCATGTGAAGAGCTCACTTTAAGAAACTTGTCTTTCTGGAAGAGTGCTGATGGCAACATCTCTTCACCGCCATCAATAATTGCAGAAAGTGTATGCCCAAATGAATGTAATGGAAATGGAAAATGTAAAAATAGCACTTGCATATGCAATGCTGGTTTTATAACAGCTGACTGCTCTATGAAAGAAGGTTATTTTAATGTTATAATATAACTTTTTATCTAAGATTTTATTTATACATAAAGTTTGTTTTAAAAGTTTTATTTTATACATTGTTGAAATGTTAAAATGTTAGGACAATCTCCTGTTTTATATGGCATACCAAACTCTGGACTATGTGACATAAGGGATAAAGATTGCATTCGTACTCGTGTCATTGGAAAAGACTTTATTGATTCCAGTTCTTTATCTTGTAGGATGACAGAAGTGAAAGTAAGTTGTGACTTTGTTTGAACTATATGTCATTTCTCATATTGCCATATTTTGATACCACTTCTAAATGTAACAGTTTATTACATGTTTTCAATGTCATAATTTTATGCCACTTTTCGAAATGTTATATTTTTATGCCATTCTTAAATTTTATATTATAATATATAGTAATTTTAAATTAAATATTTTCTACCCCATAAATTTTCTTTTTTTCAATATTTTTCTAAATCTAAAACCTTTTCATATTTTCATCACTTTTTCCTAAATGTTAGGGGAAAGTCTGTTAACATGGAGCACTTTTATATAAACATTGTTATTTTTCAAAAGTTGTAAACAAATTTTGATGCCCTTAAGTAAAAATATTTTTAATGACAACTAATACTAATATTGAAGTTACTATTTTGTTTAAACGAAAAGATTATAAATGACATTAAAAAATATGAATATATTACAAGTCTGTTAAACACTGTGGTAGCTCTTAAAGAGGCTGATTCCATCAACAGCTGCGCACGGATGGTGTCCCTGTTCGTACATTGATGTGTATTGTCGAGGCCACATTCAGAGCAATTTGTCACAGTTTAGGATTTATTAATAGTAAAGAGGCAATTGTTTGGACTATTAAATTGCATTCTAAGTATTACCCATGTTTCATGTCAAGCTCTTTAACCAATTTAAAAAATGACAAAAGTATCAAAAACTATAAAACACAAAAAGCCATCATCATCACTTCTCTTCATCATCAGTTCTCTAAATCTATCATACACTAATACTTGTGGTCTTTAAAGTAACTTTTCTTCTGTTGAGTCTTATCTTTTGCAAAGTTCACCAGATCTACTTGATCTCTTTGAGACTAATTTGAGTTCAGCTATTTCATTTTGTGATCTTAGTGTTAATGGTTATTTTCCTTTAATTCATAATGATTCCAATAATCACATGCTTGGCCTGGGCATTTACATTTTTAAAATTCACCTATTAGTTTGGAATCTAGGTTTGAACCCTTAGACTAATCTTTTATGTGCTTTTGTTTAGCACCACTTCACTTTTTCTTTGTTCTTTATTGCTCTCCATCTTAAAACTCAAGACTGTTATTTCTGATTAAATTGACCAAATCTTTATATGTCAATATTATTGTTGTTGGTGACTTAAATGCTCATCACATTGAATTGCTCGGTTCTAGTGTTTGTGACTCTGCAGGTGTTAAGGTCCACAACTTTTGTCTTTTTCAATCTCTAACATAAATAATCAGTTTTCCAACTTGCTTTTCAGACAAAATAATGACTTGTGTGTTGTTACTAATCCCAGTCAGAGCTCAGTTTCTCCACATTTACTATGAGGTGCTTTTGGTCACAGTTTGATTTCTCTAAAACTATTATCCCATTCTTCTTTATCATCAGAATCCCCCTATCATCGTATCTCTTACAACTACCTTAAAGCTGACTGGGACTTTTTCCATGATTTTCTTTGTGATGGGTCTTGGGTAGAAATTGTTTGTCTTCCTGCTGACTAATGTGCTTCATGTGTAACTTCTTGAATTCAGGCTGCCATTAAATTTTTTATTCCCTCTGAATAATTCCAAGTCAAGCCTCACCCTTCATGATTTTCTTTTTATTGTGCTGCTGCAATTTCTAGTAGTAACCATTACTTCCATATTTATTGCCAAAACAATTCTCCAGAAAACAGACATCTGTTTACTATTGCCAGAAACCGGTGTATAATAGTTTTGTCTAATGCTAAAGTCTGCTATTCTCTGTCACAAACTCTTGTATTATTTTAATTTGAGTAAAAAGTGTTTTATTGGAGATAAAACACTTTTGGCCTAAAACAAAAGAACATTTTAACATAAACAGTTAGTGCAGCGAAAAGGAAGCTGAATGAGGGTAAAAATATTGAAGCTGAAAGAGTTGAAAAATGCAGTCATAAAAGATTTACTACCCCAGACTTGAGAGAAAGATCAAAGTAATGGCCCTCAGTAATAAAAGAAATTCTTGCAAAAAGATATCTATGGAATTAGCAAGTCAGGGCATAAATGTAAGCCACAAAACAGTGAATAATTGCTTGTTGGAGCAGGAACTGAAAGCATACAGACCAAGGAAAAGCCAAGACTCTCTGATAAAATGAAGCATGCCAGGCATGAAAGTTGGATGCAAGAAAATTAGTTTGAGGTAATCATTAGTTTAGCTTTTTTTATTTTAGGTTTTATTCTCATATGAGTTAACAATTGCTGTGTTGAATGATAGGGTCCAGACATTCAGAAGAAGGTCTGGAGAGGAGTTCAAGCCTGAGGTTGGCATCTGATCGGCAGAAAAAATATGAAACAAAGGCTTGACTATAAAACATAGAAACAAGGCCGGCAATTTTTTGCTGACCTCAAACACTTCTGGATGGCACTTAACCCTAATTCTGAGGACAGAATATATAATCTGTGACTTTATTTTTGTTACAATCGTTTTCGAAGTAAAAAATTTGATTATTATTTATAAACTGAAATATCCATAATAATTTTTCCAGTACTGCATATATATATAGATATGTTGTAAAATCCCTATTATATTTAAAAGTATTGTTCAAAATTGAATTCTTTATTTTCACATACATTTGGCTAAAAGACACACACAGATTGGTTTGTGTATCAAATCTCTAACAATCTTCACGTAGCACTTATATAAGCTTATATAACTTATATAACTATGGAGTTATATAATATATATAACACATATTATTACATGTAATATATATATATATATATATATATATATATATATATATATATATATATATATATATATGTATATATATATATATATATATATATATATATATATATATATATATATATATATATATATATATATATATATATATATATATATATATATATATATATGTAACACTTACATAACTATGGAGTTAAGATTGTTCTGTTATTTGTTTTCTACTTTGTCTGTAACAAAAGTAAGGGAATAAATATTCAAGTTATGCTTATTGTTGTTTTTAAATTGTTAAAATATGATATTATTTTTATTCTCTCCTCTTCTGCTTTTCAAACCACTTTAAATAAACACAATTACATGATACTCCTGTTACATGATTTTTCAATCTTAGATCTTGAGCAAACTCTTTCCTTCTTTAGCTGTTTTTTTTTAATGTCTTTCTGTGAGCATAGTTTTGTTTACATCACTTAACATATTTTGTTATAAGGACAAAAGTTAGTCATCTGATTATTCTTTAACTATCATTAGTTTAGTTATAAATAACTTGAACAACTGTATTTTTTTACCCTGTAAACATATGACAACTGTGGTTGTTTTAAAGTTGTCTTTTTTAACAAAATTTTTTAAATTAAAATAGGTTATTACTAAAATATAATAAAAATATGTACAACTTGAGTTTTTCAAGAAGGGGTTGTACCCCTGCAGTCTTCATATATATATATATATATATATATATATATATATATATATATATATATATATATATATATATATATATATATATATATATATATATATATATATATATATATATATATATATATATATATATATATAGTAGCGTGCAAAAGTTTAGAAACACCAACATTTTTTCAGTTTTTACTGCATAACTTTTTACAATCTTTTATATATAAGCTGAAATTTTTACAAAATTTGCTCTATATTATTTCAATTTAAGATACAAGCCATAAAAATAGTAAAATTGAATGGTTGATTAACATTATATTGTTTTTTTTATAAAGCTTCCATGCTAAAGTTTAGAAACAACTGAATTTGATTAATATTTATTTCAAAAAAGCTAAAACTTTTACTAAAATTCACAAAATAACAATTTTTTATCAATAAAATAGTTTTAATAAAACACTTTGTGTTTGGTGGCATATCCAAATGCCTTTAAAACAGTATCACAGCGACGAGGCATTGAAACTAATTTAATGAGAATATCCTGATGAATATTATACCAATATTCTTTAATCAATGCAAATAAATGGTCTTTGTTGGTTGTTTTTCTACTAACTAATTGCTGGTTAATGAACTCCCAAAGATGTTCAATAGGATTGAGATCTGGGCTCTGTGAAGGCCATTCAAAAACTTTGATTTTTTGTAATTTAAAGTATTACTTAAAGGATCTGGCACAATGCTTTGGATCATTATCTTGTTGTAAGATCCATTTGCGAGTTATTTTATGCTTTGCATGGGGCAGCATAACATTCTTTATTATGTCTAAATAAACTCCGGTCACATTGTCATGAATAAAACATCCTCAAACCATAACATTTCCTCCATGTTTAACAGTGGGTGACATTTTTGGTTAAATCTGACTCCTATTGGGCGCTCAACGTACCTAATTCTGTCATTACTGAATAGCATAAATTTGTAATCGATGATTAGTTGTATCAACGCTACAGTTTGTGCCATGAAACTGACGCATAAATGAATTAAGTTCGACAGCAGTCTTGCAAGGATTATTTTTGGAATACCTTACTAATAATCTATCAGACTTTTCAGTAGTAACTTTAGGTCTTCCAGAGCGAGGTTTGCTCTCAATAGTTTTGCGCAGATGAAATCTTTTCATTTTGTGACTTATTCCTGGTTTAAAAACATAGTAAAGTTTAGAAATCTGCCTGTAAGTCATTTTATTTTTCACAACTTTTTATAACTAGTTCCTTTATTTCCTTTGAAACTTCCTTATTATTATATATATAAATGAAATGTTATTATTAAAGTAATTGAATTATAACATTTTACAAATATTTTAGCAGTATCTTAGATATATCTCTAAAGTAATTAAATTATTAAATTTCACAAAAATTTTGGCCTTTAATTTTGCTTTTGTTTACAAAAACATAAATTAATTGCAGGCTTTGATACTGTTTCTAAACTTTTGCACGCAAGCTTTTTTAAAAAAAACAACTAAATGTTAATTAACCGCTCAATTTTACAACTTTAATGGTTTGTTTTTTAAATTGAAATAATATAGAGCACATTTGGTAAAAATTCCAACTTATTTAAGAAAGTTTGTGAAAAATTATAGAGTAAAAAATGAAAAAAAGTTGGTGTATTTAAACTTTTGCACGTTACTTTTTTATTTTTGAAATAAAATGTTTTTGTTTTTATTTATTTTTTACTGTAAATCATGCGCGAGTATTGCTACATTGACTTTTTTATAGCCTGACTCACAATAGAGTTGTGAGTCAGGCTATAAGAAAGTCAATGTAGCAATATTTATTGTTTCTTGATTTGTATTACATAGCTGATAATTGCCTAAAGGCAATTATCAGCTCTGTAATACAAATCAAGAAACAATAAAACTGTTAAAATATAAAGTTTCAGTGGAGTGTGCTCCATTGTCATAACAACAATCAACAAAAAATAAAAAACAAAATCTTCATGTTATATGTTTATTCATTTTATGTTTTTCATTATATGATTATATGAAAGTTAACGATTAATTTGATGTTTAGCATGTTGTGTTTTTATTCTAATCCTCTAAGCATTGCATTATTATGAAACTTCTTTATTTGTTGGTACCTTATCATCTATGTTTTGTATTTTTTTTGTAAAAATTAAATTTTTAAATTAAAAAGAAAATTTGATGAAGTTTTGATTTTAATCCTCATTCTAATTTTATTTTTTGAAAACTCTATTTTGAAAATAAAACTTTTATATTTAGAAAAATAAATATATGTTTAAAAACAAATGTTATTTATAGATTTCTGAAAAGCCATTTGAAAAAATAGGAAAACCACTGGATAACCAAGGACAGCTTTTAAGTTTTGCTGAAATAAGTTGTTTGCTACATAAAGCTCCAGTTAATATTAAATACTCTTCTATTCAACCTGGAAAACCTGTAGGAGGTTATTTAATCAGTGTGTCAAACAATAATTTAAATTTCAGTGTAAATGAAACATTGTTTCTTGTATATGACTCTAAGTGCATGGAATGCAACATCACAGATGCAACATGTAAATGGAAGGTAAACATTAATCTATTTATTTATGTATATATATATTTATATATTTGAAAAACAACATTAGGGCTTGATGACCACTAATACTGTTGTACACATTAAAAGATTGTTTTTCAGATTTTCAAAAACTTTAAAAAAAAGAATTAAAAAATTTGAATTTTATCAAATGTTAGAATTTAATGATGAAGAATTTTTTTTTTAAACATCAGATGATAAAGATGCAGCATTTTTGGTCAATTTTTCCACAAGTTAAAAATACACTTAGAAAAGTAATACTTGGTGCTGTTCAAATTACAATAGAGTTTATATAGTTAAAAGGCATGATAACGATTACCCAAGTAAGAGTTTAAAATAAAAGCATGTGATAGATCAGTGTCTACTTAGCCATTAAGAATTTTGTAACATGAATCTAAATTAATTGATGTTTGACAATTTTCTAATGCATAGTGCTTGAGTATTGCTAGGCCATTATCATAGGATACTGACGACAGGCCAGCAATTCTCCTTATAAAAAAACATTGTACTTTTTTAATTTTCACAATATAGCCGTCTAAGGTGACCAGAATAATACTCTATTAAAATATTATTCCTGTATTATTATATACTATTATTATTAAATACTATTCCTGTATTGTTCTACAGAGTAATACCGGAAGAACAATACTCTAGCACAGTTAGTACATAAGTACAGTAAGCTTTAACCATCAGTGATCTATCGAGCGAATAAAAAGCTTTTAGAATCAGATTCTTGACATAAGATAAGATGGATATGCTGATCAAGTTTTAAGTTTCTTTCAATGGCAACTCCACTTCCTGGAATACTGTTAATATCAGCAAGTTCGTGGTTATTTATACAATAAACACAATGAGTTAAATTTTGTTTTCAATTAGCAATTGTAAAAGCAAACCATTTTTCAGTTGCTATTTGAAGTTGCCAAACACAACTCCATTCATACAAACAATTAATAGCTGTGTAAAGGTCAGACTAAGAACAATGTACATCATAGGTGGAATGTAACTTAATACCATCAGCAAAAACTTTAAGCTTAACATCAAGCTCTTTAATAATGTGACATTGATAAACAATAAAACAATAAGAACAGAGTAGGTCCTAAATAACTACCTATTGGAACACCGCTTGTTACAGATATGGTGTGGGAAGTAACATGTTTTAAATTGACCACTTTTGATCTTGTGTACAGAAAATCAGTTAGCTGATTCATAAGATTAGCAATTATTCTGTAAGCAGCTAATTTATTAGTAACTTGGGATGTAAAACAGAATCAATTGCTTTTTTAAAATCAAATTGACAATATCAGCAGGAATGTGGTGCTGCAGAACATGAAGATCATTCTGGGATGTTAGTACAAATACTGCATTTATGGATAAAACCATGTTGCTCTTTTTTGATTAGGTTGTAAAGTAAAAGATAATTTAATAGTTTGTTATTAATGAATTTTTCCATTACACGACAACAAATAGATGTCAAAAAGATTAGTCTATAAATACTTGGGTCAATTGTTGGTCCCTTTTTATGAGTTGGAATGACCAACCATTTCTACTGGTCTAGATTCAGTCCAGAGTTCAGTTTAATTTACTGTTAAACTGAAAAGTTGCTACTTTCTAGTTTAACAGTAAAACACCACTTTTAAATGAGGTATCAAACATACGGCTGGGAAGCTAAAAACAAGAGAGCTGCTAAACTGTTAGTGCATTGCTTTAGTAGAACATAAGAAATGCCATCCAGACCAGTAGATGTAGTTAGCGCCACTTTAGCATCATCAATGTTTTTTCTACAATAGATGAAATGAAGTTAATGGAAGACAGACAGAAGTTGAATGTGTACAATCTATAACTTTGGTTAGAAACCATTATCCTTTGTAAAAACACTTGCAAAAAAGTTATTAAAAATACAAGATATTTCTTTTTTGTTTTGGAAAAGTGTATAATCAGTTCATCAAATCTCACTGATCTGACTTGATACTCATTTTAATTTGTAAAATTCAAGAAAGATTGCTCTTTTGTATCATCTTTAATTTATTTTTTTGTATGATTCTATTTAATGGCAACAGTGGAACATTTTGGGGAAATTGATCTGTATGGTGCTTTGTCATCAGGTTTACCTGATATTTTTGATCTCTTCTATAGATAATATTTCTCTAACTAGCTTATAATCTTTATTTTTAATTTTAGTTTCAGATCCTTGAGATGGTCCAATGTTGCTTAGTATAATTTTATTTTCATTATGCTTGGTCTCTTTCAGTTATTGCCTCATTTTAGCGATCATGATAAGCTCTTCTTTACTTCTTTTTCTACTGAATAGCGAGGCATATATGGCTATAGGTTGTTTAATTTATGGCTTATACATGTTGAAATGTTTGAACTTTTTTCTTCTAGTCATCTTTTCTAGTCATAAATTGGTAGATTATTTGGTTTTTTTTTTTGGATTGGTGTCTTCCAAAAATTTTACTTGGTTCAGCATAGTGATGTGCTTTGTTCAACATAGTGGTGTGTTTCTGTAACAACTAGAAGCTGTTGCTAATAATCTAAAACAGTTATGATGCTATCTTGTTGATATTGTATGATTTCCTTGTTCTAGACTAGGGTGATTTGATAGCAAAGCAATTGGATTTAAGAATTGGTATTATTTTGATTTTCAGAAAGGAGGGCTTATTTCAATTTTGGCTTTTTCTTTTATTTGAAGAAATAAAAAGTTAAATATTAAATATCTAATTTTTTTTTTTTTTTTTTTACTTTTTAATATACTCTAATACAATTCTGATAGAATCCGTTATAATTTTTATTAAAACTAATTTAAAAAAGTTTTTATTTATTTATAGAAACGAATATTAGAAAAATAAAATGTTTTATAGAAGTTTCTTTAAAAAGTATGATTTTGTGCAAAAATCTTCTATTGTTTTCATGTAAAAGAAAGTAAATTTGTTTATTTTATAAGAGATTATATTTCAGTTTTAATTGCAAACCTGTTAGTAAATGTTAAATAACTTTAAACAAAAAAAAGTTAAATTTTTTTCAGTACATTTTTACATTTTTCTACATTTTTTGATTACAGCTGTTAAGTAATTAATACTTGTCACTAAGTAATTAAATTGTTTTGCTAAAAGTGTTTATTTTTAAATGTTTTATTTATAAATTATCATTACTTTGATTTAATTAATGCGGCAAAAACAGTTGGAAAGTTGTAGCTACACCATTTCTCACCCTCCTATCCCACTTACATACACACTTGATTTTGTAGGATAACAGTTGCAAAATCAAACTTCTAAAAAATAAAAATATTTTAGAAGTTTGATTTTCAATTAAAAAGTAATTTAAGTTTTGTTTTAAATAGGTTTTGGTGTATTTAATTTTTTTTTATGTAAAACAAAGAAAATATTTTTTATATAAATAAATTTTATATTTATTAGTATTTTTAAATTTTTTTGAAAATAAATTCTAACATTAATTTATAATACATCATTATTTAGGATAACAGTTGCAAAATTAATGAATATTGTTTTGCAATAAACGATCCTAATCCAAAACAATGGTGTGAAGTTTGTAATCCAGTAAAAAGTCGAACATCATTTTCAGAAAGAACAAGTAAGTGCAGAAACACTAAAATCATGTAAAAATCTTTTATAAATAAATAGATATATATGAATATATATATATATATATATATATATATATATATATATATATATATATATATATATATATATATATATATATATATATATATATGTATATGTATATATATATATACATATATATATATATATATATATATATATATATATATATATATATATATATATATATATATATATATATATATATATACAAGTATCCATATATATATATGTGTGTGTGTGTGTGTGTACACACACACATTTATTTACATGCATGCACAGGTCAGATTACTATTTTCTCACAAATGGATAGAGTTTAATAGTAGAAAATGCTAGTGCATAAGAATGCTAGTCTTAAACATTCTTTTTATTTTTTCAATTTATAAAAAATGTAAGTATTTTTTAGTTTAGTTCAATAGAGAATGTTTATAGACACTCTGTGCAAATAATTTATTGTTCCCGTTGTGGTACAAAAATCTTTACTTACAGAGTTTTTGAATTTTAGTTAAACAGGTCTGGTAATTAGTTTATTTGTGATATATTACTTTAGTTTGCAAAATCACTGATCTTATGAAAAAATCTATATGATTTAACACTAGGATGTCTTAGGTAGTTGATTTGACTTCTTTTAAATTTAGAAAATAGCAATAAAAAATTAGTAGGCAAAGAGGAGAATTTTCAATGCCAAAAACAACTTTGTAAATACTTTTGAGATGAAATATTTCACTAAGTAGATCATCTGGCAGATCTTTCTTATATGCATTTACAAGTTTGGCTGCTTTTGAACTAATCTCTCCATCCTCAAGTTTCTGTAAATTCAAAATGGATAAGAATAAATCACATATTGCATTGGCTGCTTCAAATCGTGAGCTCAAATCTTCAATTATAAAATCCAACACTCGGTAAACTACAAAGGATTTAAAATCTTGATCTGGTTCAGAAGAACAAATTCTTTTTGTAGGAAATTGAGCTTTTATTCCAATAACTTCTGCAACAACTTTTGCCTTATGAACAATACTTTCGCATGAGTCACGTATGTGAGTAATCTCTTTTACTAAATCTTGGATAATAATTGTTTCAACATCAAGTGATATCCCTTGGCTTTGTATGACATTTTTTTTGTTGATAGTCGCAAGTATTTTGTGCCAAAAAATAGTCAAAAGTAGACTTTTATAAGACGAGAAGTATTTTTTTAAGCCTTTAACTGTACTTTGTGCTGAAGGTATTAGTTCTGAAACAGTTCCCCAAAGAATATCAGAGAGTACGCCGGGATAATGTTTGACAATTGGTCAAAGGGGTTGAATTCTTTTACTCCACCTTGTTTTTGAAAGACAATGAAGATATAACGGTATGTGCTTTTTCAGCAATTCCCATTGTGTAGGACTGTGCGAAAACAAGCAGTAGAAGCTTTCTAAACTTCTAAAAAAAGTTATTACATCAGGGTTTATTTTTGCTGCATTGACTCCTACACGGTTTAACAAATGGGCTCCACATGGAGAAAATATAGCACAATGATTTTTGAGAGGGCCTTAACACCATTTATTTTACCACACATATTTGAACCATTATCTTAACCTTGTGAACGACAATCTTGGAGAGGTATGTTATATCTTTCTAGTGTGGCAAATATTTCTTCTGTTATTTTTTCTCCTGTTTTTTCCTTAAAGTTTAGAAACTCTATGAAGTGCTCGTTTACTTCAAACTCCTTCGTTTCTTTATTTTGAGATACACACCTAAGAATTAGAACATTTTGTTCGATGTGCGAAGTATCCAGAGTTGCATCAACTATTAATCCATAGAAGATGGCATCTTTTCTTTGATCTATAATAGTTTTAAGAACTTTGTCTGAACAAAGTTTTATTAGTTCATTTTGAGAATACCAAGACAAATAATGTGATTGTCCCTTTATACTTTTTGATTCTAACTGATTTTGTTGAACTTTGGCAAGATGTTGTTGCGTCACTTCATCGTTCTTCCCAATTAATTCTAAAATTCCTGAAAAATTGCTATTATGAACATCCTCAATCGTTGTGTTCTCTCCTTGAAATACTAAACCTCTAGATAATAAAAATAATGTAACACCTATAATCCATTTCATAATTCTTCTCCACTTATTGGTTTATATATTGTACTTGGAGTTGTAAGCGTTTGTCTATTCCATTTCCTTTTAATGACTCATAAAAGACTTTCCAACCCAAATAATTGGATTTGATTCAACTAGACATTTGATTTGATTATTGTCGATGTTAGACTATTATTTAGCAACAGCTTTCTTCAAATCTTATTTTTGGTAAATGATCTATTATAATAGATAAATAAAGCAAAAGGAAAATAAATATTGCTGAAAAGTTAACAGCTAGAGTGCAAAAAAATTCTGTATCATTGACTACAAGTTTTAGTGAATGGCTTTAACAAGACACAAAATAAGCTCGTGGGTCAAGGTCAATGATCTTTTCTTGTACACCTTTTTAAATCATAGACACCTATTAAATTTTCTTCTTCTTTACACTATTCATGAAACTTTTTTTCATGCTCTTTAAAAAACTTATTGAAATTTTGTGTACACCTATTGAAAAATTCTTTTTAATTAATGCATAATACAATATTTGATTCAAAGGTGTTAATTTTATTGAAAAATAATTTAAAATTCCTAATCAGGAGATTAGCGTAAAGAAAGCGTAAGAAAATTTTTAATTTTTTTACTGAGGGTTTTTTAATAAATAAAAAATTTGACAAAAAAAATTCTTTTTAATTAATGCATGATACAATATTTAATTCAAAGGTGTTAATTTTATTGAAAAATTACTTTGAACAATTAAAATCTGTTCTCATTGTTTATACATACACACATACCATGGTTTGTCAATGTAAGTATTAAGTGTACTAGTACACTAAAATCAAGTATTACTGGATACCAGTGTAAAAAAAAAATCAATTATTACTGGATACCAGTGTAAAAAACTCATCCTTGAACTATATCTAACGAAAACTCATCCTTGATATCTAACGAGCTTTACTTTAAATTATCTATAGACAGAATAGACACCTTTGCATAGAAATTATATCTGATTTCATGCTCTAAAAGTTAGCTCAAACATATTCCAGAAACAAACAACTTTTCCCATGGAAACATTAAGTATGTATGTAACTGTACTTATGTTGCATAAGTACACACAAATTTAAATAAATAAATAAAATAAAACAAAACAAAAAAAAATAAAAATAAAAAGCAACACAGGTAATATAATAAAAGAGTTTGACTCAAAACATATATATATATATATATATATATATATATATATATATATATATATATATATATATATATATATATATATATATATATATATATATATATATATATATATATATATATATATATATATATATATATATATATATGTTTTGAGTCAACTCTGGTGACTAAGATGGTTTTGTTGTTTTGAAAGCACAAGTCAGGTAACTTGTATTTTCAAAACAACAAAACCTTAATGTTGTGTGAAAAACTTCCTACATCTAAGACAAAGACAAAATATTTATAATATATCTAATGCTTCGTAATTATCTATAGCCTCAAGAAAAAATATTATAGGACTTTTTATTATATAAAAATAAACATCATGGTATTGAACTCATGGCCATTGAGTTGGATTGCCTTTCAAAGTATTTGCAAGGAATTTGTATGGACATCGGTTGATTTCAAGGATTGTATACCTTTCAAGGATTATATACCTTTCTACAGCGTTAAAATCTAATTTTTCAAAGTATTCATAAACCAACATTTCATTTTTCAAACTCTTTAGTTCATATTTTTGTACGAATTCTCCAGCTTTATTAACTCAACTAACCATTTGGGTTCGCCCATCCAAGATGGTAAAAACTTATGCTATTGTTATTTTTTGTAATCACGTGACTTTCCGACTGCAAGGATTAGGGTAAAAAAAACATTAAACAGACTGAAAAGTACTAATCAATTAACTCAAAGAAGCTCAGAGAATTAGAGACATTATTCTATTTAAAATCGTTTTGTATTTTGTAAAATTTTGCACCCCATCCCATCCTCTCTAAAAATACTTTGACAAAAAAAATTTTAGGGAAGGGGGGTACAAAATTGTTGCGTAGTATGGGGGGGTCAATAAAGTATTACGGGTGCATTACGAGGGGAGGGGGGTAAAAATGTCAAAAACTGCGTGGCGTAATTTATGAACGCCCCTAAATTATGAAAAATATTTAAGACTATTATCACAATTGATTTATTTAATATAAAAAGCAAAATAAAAAAAGTTATAAAAAATATTTATAGAAAATAAATCAAAGAAAAGAGCAAAAAACAAACTAATAAAATAATTTAAAAAATTAGGGGAGGGGGGAGTTAATGAGTCTTAGTGTAGTTTTATAAGAATTCAAATTCAAGGATATTCAAACAGTCAACATTAGTTATATTGACAAAGTATAACTAAAACTAACTGAACAGATAAGCAACATATATAAAATAATTACAATAAATCTTCATTAGATAAAAAAAATTAATTTACTTTTAAACAAATATATATACATATATGACAAAATTGTCCAACTTGGGTCACTATGTAAGAAAAAGAGTACTAAATATTTAAAATATTTTGTACTCTTTTTCTTCAAAATTAATAAAATTTTAAAATACTATAATTTCAGTCATATATATGGGTTATGCGACAACGTGTCACTAAACAAAAAAACAATAGAATATTTATGGACTTTTTAGATAAAAAAATAGGTTTAACTATTTTTGAGATATTCAAAAAAAAATAGGTTTACCTATTTTTTATCTAATGAATTCCATAAATGTTTTATTGCATTCAAATTAGGGCTCTGTGAAGGCCATTTTAAACTATAATTCCGCTTTCATCAAAAAAAGTTTTAGTTTTTTTAGCAGTGTGTTTTGAATCATTGTCTTGTTGAAACAAAAAACTTTTACTAGCGAGTTGTTTGAGCACACGTGCTCAAACAACTCGCTAGTAAAAGCGGTGCTGTAAAAGTCCTGGTACGCTCTGTTATTCTCAACAATAAAAATCAACAATAAGTCAAACTCGTAAGCTGACACACAAAAGTAGTATTGCAAATGCAGAAAATATTAAGAGTAAGATCAAACAAAGACGGAGAGACAAGTTTTGAATCAGGAAAAACAACAAAAAATTTCTAAAAACTAAAATTTTATGAAAATCAGTATTTGTTGAATAAAATATATATCTGGTTTTCAAAAATTATGTCAAGTTATCTTTAAATAAAAACAAAATATGATTTTGAAAACGTTCTTTTTTATATCTCTAATTAAACATCCCCTCTCCCTATATAAACATCTTCCTATATTTAAATAGCAAGAGGGTATGTTTAATTAGAGAGGGGAAAAGGTTTCTATTTACTTACTATTTATTTTAAGTTTAAAAACTTTGTAGAGTTGAAGTAAAATAAACTGAAAATATTTTTTATAAACTTCGGGAAAACTCTTATAATATGGTAAAAGTTTGTATATAGTTGTGCGGGGTCAAGAGAAACACTTTTGCACCACAAATGTTATTTGGAAATATTTGTAGTCGTGCATTTTTTAAGTACTAAAAGTTTAGTTTTTCTTAGACAACATTGCTCCATGGTTTAAGAAAAGTACGCCGATGCTATATGCGTTTAAAGGTCAGCAATGGAAGTATGAGATACCAGCTTATGATCCTGAAAATCAACCCTTGACATATAAATTCGAAGGTGAAAGTCATGGAATGAAAATATCTACTGTAGGAATTTTAACTTGGAATCCTAATAGAATTGGAAATTTTATTTTTGCGGTTAAAATCACTGATCCATGTGGTTTGTCAGCTTTTTCTCATTTCGAAGTTGAGACGAAGCAATGTGACTGCGAAGATAAAAATGACGGTTTTTGCATCTGGCAAGGAGAACCCGGCAACATTAATTCATCAATTTGCCAATGCCCTAACGGTTGCACAGGAGAACTGTAAGTTAAAAATTCTTTTATTATTTTTATTCATAATGGCGGTTGTTGTACTTTATTTATTAAACTTTTTTGACTATTTTCAGGTTCTTTGCTCTCTTTTTTTTATGAGAAATGTAACCTATTAAACTAACTTTAAATATATTATTGACACGTCACGTTTATTTGGTTAGAGAAAAATATAGAAAATTAAATATTGTGACCACAGTTACAAAATAATATTCAACTGCATCTAATTGTTAATTGGGTTATTTATTTTTACTGCAATTTTTGCAATTTTATGCGCATTTGTTATTTACTTATTAAACGATTTGAGATTTTGATTTTTTAGATGTACCGAACCAATCGATGGTTTAATTTGTACAATAAAAAGTAAGTAAATTTTATAGTTTTTAAGATTTCTTTGTGTTTTAGGAAATTTTTATTCATTTTATTTTTCTATTTAGTTAAGAATAAGGATCGTAAGAAGTTGGAAGGTCTTTCTGATACGATACTGGCTGTTATCATAGTTCTATCGGTTTTATTCCTAGCAATATTTTCTGCATTAGTTCATAAATTTTTTTTTAAAAAAAATAAGATTTTAATTAAACAATCAAAAGATACAAATGTTTTTAGTGATGATTCCGAAAGTAAATCTGGAATTTTGATGAATAATATAAAAAGTTGCGATAAAAGTTATAATAACGAGGCCTTTGTTAAAAATGAAGTCAACTCAATAGAGAAAAGAAAACAGGCTTGGCAAACATAAACTTTATAAGTTGTTGTTTTATTTTTTTATTTTTTTGTATGAAATAATATTGATTTAATTAAATAATGTGTACATAATACACGAATTAAAAGTTTATTTTAAATTTAAAAAAAAAATTATTATTATTTTACATTATGTTTTTTACGACATGGGATAAAAAATCTGGTCTTTTTTTGAAACTTTATTGTTTAATAATTTTTTTTATCTTTTTCAATTTAATCTTTTTGTTTTATCAAAGTAGCATGCTGCAGCCCAACAACATTACTCGGATTAACAAAATATTTATAAATAAATATAGAATGTAACGACGTCGTCTAAGACTATATTTTTACGTCGTTACCTTAACTATTCTAATTCAAAAGAAAAAACTGAACAGGTTAAGTGAAAGCATGCTCGCTAAATATTATTATAACAACTGAATGCACAGCACACGTGTTGCGAAGCGGAAATAGGATTTTTCTTACTTTTCTGAAAAAAAAATTCAATTTTAATATTTAAATTTTTTTTTTAATTTGCTTTTTTAAGTGCGGGATTTTCAGGGGTAAAAAAACCCGGGTTCTCACTAAATCTTTATATTACATACAATAATATCTGAATTTCCTCAATTTTTTTGCATTTTATCAAATAAATGATATATTTTGTAAATTAAAAACAAAGAAAAGAAATAAAAAATGTTTGGATCATTGTTTTTGTGTGTCCGTAAAGATTAATTGATTAGACTATGTTACTACATAGTCTAATCAATTAATAGCCGATTTTTTATTTATAAATTTTCTACGATAAATAGACTTTTTAGAAGTGAAATAATATTCTGGCTACCTCTGTAGTAACATGGTATAATATCAATTCATTGTAGTGGGTTTTATTAAAAACCGGTTAGTAAATAAGTAACAACACAAGATGCAAAGCGGTACATTTGTTCCTTTTCTCTAAGTTAAGTGTTGTTTAATGTTTTAAAATGGTTACTTTTAATTTCAGCATACTTTTGTTTGATGATTTTCCTCCAAAGCATATTTTCACAAGTAAAAATGTATTTGCATGTGCTTTATTTTTTTAGTCCACGTTTCATCAATGTATGCTGGTTATACTGTGAGTTTAAACATTTTTGAAAGTATGCCTTTTTATTTAATAAATATTTGTAGAAAAAGAAAAAAATTCTTTTTAACTAAATATAAAACATCAAAAACCAACACAGTAAACATCTCTTGTGAGTATAATATGATTTATATATTAAGTTGTTATATTATTGTTAAATAAAATATGAATACATATACACATAGTGCTAAATAAACACAATTAATAACTTTTTTAATAATAAAAACAATATATAAAAGATTAGAGAAAGCAATTAATAAAAATATCTGATAATCAGATATTTTTATTAATTGCTGTTCCTTAATCAGACTGATTAAACAGGATAATCAACTTATCAAGCAGAGTAAGCATAAACTGAAAGCCGATAATTTACTACTTTACACTTATAGATTTAATACAAACAGGTATGCATAGATTTATATACCTCCCCCTATATATATATATATATATATATATATATATATATATATATATATATATATATATATATATATATATATATATATATATATATATATATGTATATACTAAGAAGTGTTTAGTAAAAATAATTTTTTAAGACTATATTTTTACGTCGTTACCTTAACTATTCTAATTCAAAAGAAAAAACTGAACAGGTTAAGACTATATAATCATCGGCTTTCAGTTTATGCTGAAAGCCGATGATTTACTACTTTACACTTATAGATTTAATACAAGCAGGTTATTATGACGATACGTCGTCACAATCTTTTTATAGAGCCCCTTAAAAAGTTTTAATAAAGTATTGTCATTTTTATTTTAAACTAAAAATCGAAAAGCTAAGAAACTATGAAAGTATAATTGTATTCTTTACTGAGCTAAAAGTTAAAATAAACAAAGACAAAAATAAAAAACAAAAAAAAAAATAATAAAAAGGTTATATTTTTCATTTACATTTGTTTCACACTTACAGGCCTCCCACTCCTAAAACGTGATAAAATTTTATGATTTTGGGACAATTTTTACAAGTTTTTTATGACTTTTTAGGACAAATTAGAGTAAAATTTAGGACATTTTAGAACAATCTAAAATCATAAATTTTCCCTTTAATACCCTTGAAATTGTTTACGTTTATTTAAAGTAGACAATAAACAAAACACAATTTAATTTAAAAACTCTTGAACTTAACAATGACAACTTTTACATGTAATTTGTCGGCAAATAAAAACTTATATCTGAAATACTAAATAAAGTACCAAAATTAAATATACTTCTATTATGTGATCAATTTATGAAAGAGTAACAGAAACAAAATATATAGTGTTAATAAATTTTTCATTTTATAAAGTTAATATCATTCTACTGATGTTTTATTTAAAAGAAAAAAAAACTTTTAGTTAGAATAGAGTTTCAATGCAAAATAGTGTTTCAACATAATTCTAAATTGATTAAACCGACAGTTCTTTACTTCTTTTTTCTAATACATCTTGCTCATCAACAAGCTCTTTTCTTCTTTTCATCCCTGTTTCAATTTTGCAATGGGCTCGCTGAAATTCATTTCTTGTGCTGTTTTTTTGAAGCAGACACTTCTTCAAATCACTATTTCCTTAAAAAACTAAATTGTCAGCAACTGGTAGACCATCTTTTATCTGCAAAAAACAAACACTTTTACTTCATGCATTAATAAAAAAAATCAAAATCGACAACTGATCACATCAGTAAAACAATTTTTATAAAGTTTAGCATAACTTACTCGTTGAATGGATGCAAGAATAGCTTGTTTTTCATTTTCCAAAACATGTTTTTTTGCCTCCTCAGATTCTTTATTTTTTTTTTATGCTTTTCTTCTTCCTTTTTTAACCTGCATTTAGCTTCCAGATTAGCTTTGTAACTTGAGTGAGCTAATTTAACTGATTGTATAAAAGAGTTTTTAATGGGAATATCGAGTATGGATCCAAAGCTTAATATAGTATATTTTACAAACCTCAAAGTCTCAATTGTATCCGGATCAAGTGAAGTTCCATGTAACTGGATGTGTTTGTTAATTGAAAATCCATTCTCTGGGGCACTAATTCCATTCAAAAGTGTAGAAACAACTTTGAAAAAGGATAAATATTAGGAAACTTAGGTGAACCACTATCATTTAAAATTTTGGTCTCAAAGGAATTAATTAATGTATTGATATCAAAATTACATAAAAATTTTGAAACTTTAGGAAGAGGGGCGAGCTGAAAAGCTTTTTCTCAGTATGAAGTTTGATATCTCCCAATTGAAACTACTTATTCAGAACATAATCCTCTTATATCTTTCAGTATCTCTAACAGTTGATTTAAAAGATGTAGTTGTTGGAAGAAATTTTATAAAAATTTAGAGCATAAATTTTATGTTAAGTTTAACTTTCTCTACAAGTTCAAGAAAATGTTCTAACAACTTTTCAGCAGTACAATGGTCTACCATGACAGTTCCACAGTATGCAATTTTAATGCGCTTGTGCTTTTTAGATCAATATTGTACATAACCATCATTCTGTTTATTAACTTGTTGCAACTTGCAGAATACTGATCACCAGGACAAACTTGTATCCAGTTAAACTCAGACTCCCACAGTTAAATATATTTTGTTTTTTTCTTAGACATCTTATAAATATAAATAAACAAATGAAATATAATTTAACAAAGTAATCTAAACACTTTTTACAACTTTTTCTATTTTAAAGACTGACCTAAAAACAACAATAATATTGACAATTATTGATTATTATATATTCAATAGATATAGAGGATAGATAATTACAGATAAATTCTAATTCATACATTTCTATGTACACACATGAATAACATTACTATAAATCTATTATTGTATAAATGTATAAAATTAACATTTATTTTTAAAAATCTTTGAAAATTTTAGGACAATTTTGGATATAACCCTATAAATTATGACATTTTGTGAAAAAAAAGTAAAATTTTGAAAATTTGGGACATTTTGGGATTTTGGGACAGACTGGGAGGCCTGCACTTATTATTAAAGTTCTTCAAACCAAAACCTAAGGCCTTGGCCTTGGTCTTTATAATAAAATACATAAAACTAAAGAATTAAAAATTTTTATTCTTTTTTTTTACGTAATTAATTAGGTAATTAATCATTCTTTATTTTGTTTATTTAATGTTATATCTTTATTTAAAATTGTGTTGATATAAATATAGAAAATAAACATAAAAATCACAACATAAAAAAACGAAAATACATTACTTGTAATAATGATAACAATAATAACAACAAAAATGATAATAATAAAAATAACAATAAGTTACTTGTTTATATATAAACACAATAGCTAGCTATTGTGTTTATCATTAACTGTTTGCAATTGTCTAACATTGTATGTATAGCTAGCTATATATACAATGTATACACTTTTGTGTAGACATATCTGTACATCTGTATATGTATATATGTATGTTTGTGTGTGCGTGTAGAAATATAAAATTTTTTATATATAACATTGTATATATAACTAGCTATATATACAATGTTAGACAAACAGTTAAAAGCACTGATAATACGTAACAACTAACAATAACATAAAACAATTATTTAAATAGAAAAAAAAAGCAAATAGGAAAAATAATAATAAAATTAAAAATAATAATCCAAGGATAACAACTATTATAATAGAAATAATAATATTAAAATAAGTTAATATTAACTTAATATAAACATTAAATAAAGTAATATTATCAAAAAATCAAAACTGAAAAAAAAAAAAAAAAAAATCTTTAAAAAATTTTATATTGGTACATGCACACACAAACATACATATATATATACAGATGTATAGGTATGCGTACACAAACATGTATACTTACATACATATATATTTGCATACAGAAATACACATATGTGCCTACACAGAGCCGTCCTTAGGGTGGCGTGAGTGGAGCAGCCGCTCCAGGCCTCGCGGTTACGAAGGCCTCGCGCAGCGAGGCCATCCTAAACACGAGCAATCAAAACTTTAACTTATTGTTAACGAGAGTAAAGTCTCGCGCAGCAACGCCTAATTCTTTTTAAAAAATAAAAGGTGTTACTGTCGTTAAAAAACAAGAAAAAGTTTTGATTAAATGAAAATAAAATAACAAAAATATACGTGTCAAAAATATCTTATTACTGGTATGTGAAATAGCGAACAAAAAAATGCAAATTTTTGTTCGAAGCTGTCGAAGCTTTTCTGTTTAAGTTATATATTAGATTATATTTAAAAAACACTTTTTTAAAAGCTGAAAAAATTAAAAAATTAATAGTATCAGGCAAAAATTTCATTATGTTTTTTAAAACTAAAAAAGAAGAAAAAACGAAAAAAAAAAAAACAAGAACAAATTAAATGAAAGAACTTAAAATAAAATTCAAAAGTAACGTAAGTAAAATAAAATTAATAAAAAAAGGTAAAAAATAAATAGGCTGCACACTGGAAGTCTGAAGGAGCAGTTATCAATGGTCATGTGGTTTGTAAAAATTAATATGAATGCAACTTCTCTTAAGAAAGAAAATGAATATGTAAGCATCGAAGAAAATTTCCATGGATTCTTAGATGTTAAATCAACAAAGGGAAAAAATATAACTAATGTTT